TTCAGCCAAGGCTGGTTTTGTTTTCACAGCAGTGTCCGACGGTGGGTTAAACCTAATCCAATTACAAGGTACACAAAATTTATTAATGGGGCAAAGAGTTTTCTTTACAACAACAAACTTTTTGTTAGGTGGAGGCCAATCATCATCATCATCAGAAGTATCTGTTTCAGTTGATTTGATATCTTTACTTGGAACAGCAATTGGCTTCTGGTTATTGCCACGAGTTGGATTGGAAGAGCCAGCAGTAGAAGACGAGCTTGTATTAGTAGTTGTGGCGCGACCGGAAGATGTACAATTTAGTTTATTAATTGATCCAGAATTTGTAGTAGTTGCTTCAGGGGTAGAAACAAATTTTTTCACAACACAAATTAAGCAGTTGCAGTTAGTGTTGTCGGAATGCACGCCTTGAGCCGAGGCAAGGATTTGTTGAAGCACAGCAGGTTTAATTGATTCCGCCACTGAAATTTGAGTTATTAGTAAGATTTAGTCGGGGTGCCTCTCCCGGAGCACCACTTTTGTCAACTAAAAGCTTACTTTGACAAATAAATTTTTTGGGGAAGCTAGGTCCCAAGAGTTATTGAATAAAGTGAATTTAAATAAAATATTTATCTTTAAAATTAAAAATACAATTAAATATTTTTATAAAGAATTAATGGAAAATTGAAACTGAAGATGATAGGGAAGATCTGCCTATTGTTTATATAGGGGATATAATGGACAATAGGCAGAGATTTAAACAATAGTGAATAGAGAAGTGATATGGAAAATAGTATTAACTAGGGGTGAAAAGACAATAGTTTCCGGAAAAAGAAGAGAGAAGAAGGGGTCAAAGTGGATGTTTATGGGAAAATAATTTATGAAATTGCCTGTCGCGGACAGGTGAAATAAAGGGAAAAATAGGAGGAAATATTTAAATTTATTAAATAATTATAATTTCGTGTTCCTTACACGACATTTTTTAGTTATAAATTGTTGTAATTTACTATATTTTGCTATTAATGGATTTATTGTTGTGTTTTAATGAAATATAGAAAAATAATGAAAAAATAAACGTAAAAAGAGATTAATTTTTAATTTTTAAAAATTATTAAGCTTATTTTTGTAAAATTTCAATAATACTAAAATAATAAAACAAAATTCAATTAATAATAAAAAAAATATTTTTATATCAACTTTGAACAACAATAACACCAAAATAAATAAAGAAATAGAAAAATAACTTTTAAAAATTTTGAGGGAAATTTTACAAAAAAAAATATTTTTTGGACATTTTACAATTGACTTTTATATTTTTAAAAAGAAAAAGAGAGAGGGGGATAGCAGCTATCGGCTGGAAAATGGGGAGAAGAATAATATGGGTGGAAAGAAGAATAAAGGCTGGTGCTAGGCCTTTTTCTCTGTCAATTTCTCTCTGACTGTCAGGAATGAGAGATAATATAAAAATATGAGAGACATTAAAATTATTAGAGAAAAATACAAAAAAGAGGTCTATTGCTTGGACGTGTGTGTATTTATTTATGTGAATAGCTGCAGCTGCTTTTATGAATGAATGGTTGTTTTTTGTGTTTTCTTCTCTTTACAACAAAGGGAATATATTTGCGGATAAATTTTTTGAATGCGGATAATAAATGCGGATATATTAAGGAAATATGTAAAGAAAATAAAATATAAAATAAATACAAAATTATGTGAAAAAGAATTCAAAATAATTTTTAAAAATTTGGACCCAACTTAAAAAGTTCCAAAAATTTTTTCGAAATCCGCTGAAATTTATTAATAATTTTTTGCGCATTTTTCTTTGCATTTTTTCTCCAGTTTATTCTCCAGTTTCTCCAGTTTTTTTTTTCTCCAGTTTATTCATTCATCTTTTTATTTTTCTCTTTTCTTCTCTCCTCGATTTTTATTTTTCATCGCTTAGATTCTCGGCCATTTTAATAAATCAATAGGCCATATATCGTGGAGAACAAAGGGAAATAAATACGTGAAAGAAAAATAAAAAATAGAAAAATGTAGAAGATTCTAAAAACAGTTTGTCCGCCTACTACTTATTCTCTGATATCTTTAAAAAGAGATGAGAGAGAGAGATGTGTTCATTATTGGTCTTTGGCCTCTTCCCACACTTTTTTTCTTTACAAGTCGGGCAGCCATTCTTAAAACGTAGTTCCTGCCAGGCAAAGACTTGAATACTTTCTATTTTTTGCTGCCAGCCGATTCTCATCGGTAGAAGGGGGGAAAATCGAATTTGATATATTGCCAAGGTGGGCCAGTTTTTGGCGCAAACGTGAAAAAGAAAAAAAAGAAATTGTGTGCTTTTCTTTTTTTTTGCTTTTTTTTCTAATAATTGGACGGAAAAATAGCAAAAAGAGACGAAGGGACGGACAGATGTTTTGGCAAAAAAAGTTTTTCTGAATAGAACTTTGAACATTAAACATTTAAAAATATTTATTTTAGGGTTTTACCTTTCCCTGCCTAAAAATAAAATATAATTTTAAAAATACAGATGGAAAAACAATAAAAAAGGGGGGAAATGGCTAAAAAACTTTAATTTTAGAAAGGCTGGTTGAGACTGGAAATTTAGCAAATAAATAAAAATTAAATAAATAAAAATTAATTTTCTGCAAAAATATATTAAAAAATAAATAAAAATTCTTGATTTTAATCAGAGGTGGGTCGGAACAGTCAGAGGTGTCGGAAATCGGAACTGGCTCAAAAGTCGGAAGTCAAATTTTTTTCGGAAATTGGAAGTAAAAAACTTCGGAAATTGGAATTCCGACACACCTCTGATTTTAATTAAAAAAACCAATTTTATTTATATATAAATATTTAATTAATTAAAATAATTAATTAATTATATTTCCGTTTAATAAAGATGCTTCCGTAAGTGACTGGTTCTTATTAATATTTAAAAAAAAGTTTTTTATTCAAAATTATGTCGTATTAAATATTTATTTTTACGGAAATAAATAAATTTAATGAAAGATGATTGGGTATATGTGTTTAGTAAAAAAGGAAAATATATATGGGAGAAAAAACGTATATATTTATGTCAACATTAAAATAAAAATGTTTATTTGTACATACATTTCCGGAAAATATATTTTAATTTTAAATTGTTAAAACAAAAAATATCAGATGATTTTTAATTAAAATAAATAAATATATATTTAGTTAATCTCGAAATAAAGAAATTAAAAGGACCTGAGAAAATGTTCTTTTAGGTTATTAAATTGAGAAGTCGATAGATCGAGAGTTGACTTAATTACCGTGAATCCTCTAAAATAGCCCCCACCCCTCCAAAATAAGCCACCTTTGGAGGTCTATCGAACAAAATAAGCCCTGGGGCTTATTTTAGAGGATTTACGGTATCTATATTTAACCAGAGACAAGATATGAAATTTTGGGGTGAGTTTATAATTAGTTAACACACTTTATGTAGTTGGAGATTAATTTTATTTTGTCATTTATTTATGTTTATATTCTATTTCCTAATAAAAATTTATGTACATATAAAATGCTTAAATTAATATAAATGTGAAAACAAATAAAATAAAGTTTTTAAACATTAAATTATTTAATATTTCCTTGTTTTTTTTAAATTCTTTTAAATTTTTTATTTAAACAAAAAGTTTGGACATAAATTAAAAATTCCATTTCCTTAACAAAAAATAATAATTTTAAAAAATAACTAATCATATGATAAAAATTTAAAAAAATATTGATGACAATAGCGCCTTATTGTTAATGGTTAATTTTCTAAAATCATAAAATTAGCGATAATTTGTTGAGGAAAAATTCTTTTAAATAATACATTCTTTTAAATAAAATTTAAAAAAAAGTAAAAATATTTTTTGTAAAACTAAAAAAAAATATTTATAAATTAAAATAATTATAAGCTTTAATATTTAAAAAATAAAAAGAATTTTCTCTAAAAACACGTAAATATGTAATACATAATTATAATTATTTAATATAAAAATATTGTGAATAAGTGTCTGCTTTTAACTTAAAAATATCTGCCATTTTTTACTAAATTTTGCCTAATTATATGGATTTTAAAATCAGAATAGGGCCGAGTTTGTGCGAGGCTTAAGTTTAAACCGGATGTTTCAGAAAATACAGACAAGGGAATATTCGATAGAGGATATTGTGAAGTGAGTTTATTATTTATTGTAAAATAACTTTGGGCCGATAAGTAATTTTATTTATTTTATTTTTAGCTAAAGTATATATGTATTTAGTATTTATTATTTTACAAATATTTCTCATTAAAATTCCCTCACTTAATTTTATTTTTTAAAAGTCATTTCTGTGACTCATTTCCTTCAAAAATAACGAACATTAAAATATATCTGGATTAATTTAGTATATTTATTTTTTGTCAACAAGTAATGAATGGACTTTGAACAGCAATTTAGTAAATATTTTCTTTAAAAAGAAAGGATTAAAAATATTTATTTATTTTTAAAAATAAATATTCAACAAAAATGGTGTTCAGAAATAAATTTACACACACAAAAAATAATTATTTTTATTTTTCTTTTAATATTTTCTTATTTTGAACCATGGCAACAGGCAATAAATAATTTACAACAACCTTGCGCATTCAAAACATCTGTTCAAGTAATAATAAACAAAAATGGAAAAAAGGTGTATTTTTATTTTTTTTAGAAAAAAAAAATAATTTTTAGTAATATAATATTATAAAATTATAAGAGGAGATGAAAATGTAAATAAATTTTTTTTAAATTATTTAAGTAAAATTTTTGTAAAATCTAAAAATTTAATTATAAAGTAAAGTGGGTTATCCGCACGTATTTTTCCCCAAAAAGGTGCCTGTATTTTTCCCTCATCTGTGTGTACAAATATTTAAAGACCGGCCAAATAACAAAGGCATGGATATTTTTAAAATAGATATTTGACCATTTTGCGTATTTGAGAAGGGATAACCCGCTATAGAATCGAAAAAACTTAAAATATTCAAAAAATATTAAATCAAAATATTAATTATATAAATGTTTTGAACGTCTCCTTCTCCTCTGTAGATTTTCTTCCTCATTTTTCCCATTATTCTGTGTAGAACGAAATGAGCAACTTTCGTCACAACAAGACATCCACATGCGTAAATTTAATCTTGGTAATTGTTCGCATTGTTTATAAGCTAATTTATTTTGTCCAAAATAAAGAAACACATCCGGCTAAAAATTTTAGAAAAATTTAATTTTTAATTTAAAAATAGCCATCTCAGATATAAATTAGAGTGAATAAAGAACTAAAGGGGTAGTAAACAAAACAGAAAAATGCTTTATTAGGGAATTCCCAAGAAGTATATGTATTTTAAAAAATTTACTTGAATCTTGTCGATATCATCCCCATTTCTGCAAATAACTGATGCCAAAGTACTTTTTCTTATTTGCGATAATTGTAAAGGAGTAAAAACACCCGGATTTTCATACCTTTTTTATAAAAAATTTCAAAAAAAGTCTTCAGAATAAACCAAAAGCGATCTCCTTCTCGAAGTCTTTTAAATTGATCTCCAATTATACAAGAAAATGTTGGGCCAATAAGAGCTTCTGGTAAACGTTTTTCAACAATACCCCCAACCCATAAATCTATATTGCCTGGATGACCTTTTAATTTGATTTAATTCTTAAATAATTATTTTTTTATGAATTATTTACCATAAAGTTTTTTAAGTCGTGACAACACCTAGAAGTAAAAATTAATTAATAATAAAATATAAAATAAAACCTCAGGGTTTGGAATATTAAAAGAAAGTTGTTCCCAATTTGTGGGCACAGTTAATCCACAAAATCGTCGATATTCCAAATAACTTTTAAATTAATTAAATTAAAAAATTATTTAATTAATTTACCCGGGAAGTCCATGATCTCTTCCCCTTTGTATATTAATTGCAGCCAAATCCAAAGAAACATTATGTGCCCGATGAAATAAACGTTCGGTTAATTCTCTATTTAATAACTTAAAAATAAATTTTATTTCTAGTTTTTAACTAATTATTAATTTAATTCAAGACGAATATTTTGTAAGTAAATTTTTTTTATTTTCTAAATATATATAAATTATTTATGTTAAAAATCATGCCCGGTTCTAAAATGATTAAGTGCCCTATATCCAAGTAATATTGTCCATTACTTTAATATCCTTATTTACCTGTTCACTCATCGGTTGTTTCAAAGGAGATGCAAATAACCCCCTAAGGATAGGGTCAACACCTCCCTCAGCAAGCAAACGTTCGGGAGCAAAAAAAGCTTCATGTAAAGGTAGAGGGCCTTCTTGTATTGAATTAAAATTTTTATTTAATCTTTCCAAGTTTGGATTAATAAGTGTGTGGCCGAAACGAAAAGCAGCTGTAGCAAAAGCATTTGAAACACTTGGATTTACCTGATAGATTTAAAATATTTTTAAACAAATTATTTTAATACTTCCGAAGAATAACCATTATAAGGGCCAATTAATATTTTATATCCTTCCTTAGAATTGAAAATATTTTTTTAAAAATTAATTTTCTAATACTTGTCCAAGTACTTTAGGTAACCATTCATTATAAGTAATATGCTAAAGTAAAATTAAGAAAAAAGAATTAAATAAATAAATGCCTGCATCATTGCCCCAATAATTTTTCTTGTCTTAAAAAAATTTAATTACCTATATTAAATTTATTTAATTTACTTCTTGATATATTCTTTCACCATCCCAATCCGAATTCATTTCTAAAAGTTGTGTAGCAATAAAATTATGTTCACGCATCCAAATTGTGTGCATTGCTGTTAGACCTATCTAAAAATTAATTTTATTTTAATTAATTTTTAATTAAATACTTGTTCATTAGCTCTAAAATCTCCAGATAAAAAACAACGTATAGGATTTTCATTAGAAAAATTTCTTCTGCAATCCATTGCCGAATCTCGTTCAAAAGGTAAATAAGGTTTTTGTGCAGAACTAACAATATCAAAACGCAAAAGTCCGTGATCAGAAAATAAATCTCGAAGATCCAAAGCATCAACTTCTGTACTTCCATAAATTTGAGAACCATCCAAATAACTCGTTATTATATTTGCCTATTTATTTTAAATAAATATTTAATATTTTCTTTGTATTAAACTTGTTCTCTATAAGTAATTTGTTGAAAAATTGGAGATGTTTCCCCTGATCCACAAATTGCTGCAGATCTCTCAAATTCAATACAGGGTAATTTATCAGAAGAATTGGTAATTGTATGCAAACGATAATCATTTGATGGTAATGGAATATTAAAACATGGGGCAATATTATCACAAGTTCGGTTACATCTTTAAATTATTAAAAGTAAAGCACTTTGTTTCAAAAAAATATTCCTGGCCTTCCAGTTAGTATTTTTCAAAAATTATTACAAAATCATTACCTAGCCCCACCAACATATGTTTGTCTACTTAAAGCAGTTGCAGTAAAATCCAAATCATGATCAAGAAATTGCCCCCACTGCATAAGCATTGCAGAATAATAAGGATGTGGACTTATCTTTTAATTTTAAAATTTAAAATTCATATTTAATTTACATACATTTTCAGCCCCAATTAATTCAACAGATACTGTCCTCGGATTTGGTTTTGGATATCTTTATTATTTGAAAGAATATATTTTTTTAATTTTATTCTACCCAAAATATAAATAGCCTTTATTCCATCCAACAGGTGTATTAAATCCATTTTCATAAATTGGTGGTAATAATCGAAGAAATGGCATTTGACTTACACCCCAAGTTGGATGGTCAAAATTATTACATTGTCCAGTGTATGATCTTTAGATTAATTAATTAAATATTAAAATAAATTTATTTAGACAATTAAAATTAAAAATTAAATAAAGATAGTCAGAATCAACTCAATTTTTTGACCAATAACCAAAATTTTTTAAAGATTAAGCGGTGTTACCCATCCCTTTATTAACCATGTTAAAATTATTTCGTTAATTTTATTCATTATTTAAATATTTTTACCTATATTTTGAGTGAAAGCACATATCTTGACATGTATCTTTAAACTTTTTAAAGAAAAGTACAAATTATTTTTTAAATTTCCTTACTTGTCCACTCATACATCCAGATAATTCCATTAATGTTTGTATATGTGTAACACTTAAAACCGATTCAAAGGAAATATTTTCTGTAGGCATTTCTTGTGGTTTTAGATTAATACCTTTTTTAAATTAAAGTGAAATTAAATTTTCTTCCTTTTATTTTTGTTTTTTTCAGGTCCAGAAGATATGGGCCCGGATACCTACGGAGGTTGGTCTAAGAAAGACCTTTTAGCCTGTTATAGCACATCAATCTTTAAAAATTTAAAGGACACACATAAGCTACGCATGGTACTACCTAATTTAACAGACTTTCCCTAGTTCTCGGACCCAAAACAAAATTATACATATAACCAAAGGTATTTGGAAACCCCAAAAAAGGAAGTGAAAATGCGGGGAGATAGTTCTCGGAGATAGTTCTCTATTTTATTTTCTTTTCACTACCTAATTCAACATGTTTTTCAATTAATCTCAAACTTTCTTCATAAATTTCTCTTGCTTTACTTAATTCTGTTGGTTGTTGCTTTCCAATAAATTTAAAATGTTTAAGTAAATCTTTTGGTGAATTAACTAATTCTTCTTTTGTCTTTAAAATTGATCTAAAAAATTTAATTTAGAAAAATTCCTTCCAAAAAAACCTTTCAATATTATCCGTAGCTTGATTTACTATATTTTTTAAAAATGTTTTTTCATTAATTATTTGTTTATCAATTTGATCCAATTGTGAAGAATTTATTTCTAATTGGGCATCTGCAGTCATTGAACCAACTGTATTTCCGGCCATACAAGAATATGTTCCTTTGAAATATTTAATTAAATAGAATTTTGTTGAATTTTTTGTGGCAATTAATTTTAAATATAATTTTTTAATTATTTAAGTATTTACCAGCATCTCTTCTCACTACCGATTCAATAGTTAATTGGGACTATAAATTATTTATTAAAATATTTAAACTCAATTTTTAAATTGAAATACCTGATCCTCACTTATCTAAAATAAAAAAAAGTAATTTAATTAATTAAATATATGTATTATTTTAATTATTAGATACTTGAAAATGCCCTCCAAAAGAAGAAATTTCCACTCCATTAAAAAACCAACCAATTGAAGGTTTTGGTTCTCCTTTAGCTTTACATCTATTTATTTTCTTTAAATATATTTTCAGACATATTTATTTACCTAAAAATAATTTTCTGTCCAATCCCAACATTTTTCGATTTTGGTCCTTCAATAATTTCTGGTGGATAACTTTTAATAATCTCTAAACGGGCATTTAAACTTTTATTTCTTCCATTTATATTTACAGCCTCACAATTATAAATACCAATATCTTGTTCAAGAAATGGATAAATTAATAATTGACTTCCGTCATTACGAAAAGTATGTTTACGTGAAGGCTCTATTTGTTGAGAATTAAAAAACCTTTTTAAAAATAAAAATATTTTTCCTTTTCTCTACAAAGAACCAACCAATATATTTTTGGTTTTGGATTACCAATAGCCTCGCAATTTAATTGTACAGCTGTCCCTTCCCGATATCGTCTGTCTCTTGGTGTATAAGTAAATCGAGGAGAATTTCCATTATTTTTTAATTTATTATTATTTTCATTATTTTGTTGTTGTGAATATTGCTAAATTAATTTAAATTAATTTATCTATTTATTAATTACCAAAGAAGATTGTTGTAAATTTGAAGGTTTAAATAAAACTTTAATATTCGAATTTTGTTTTTCTGTTAATGATACATCCACTATAGCATCACGTAATTGTCTTTATAAATGGATAGTTAATGAATAAAATTAAAAATTAAAACCTGAAAGAAATTTGTGGATAATTTATTGAACACTAATTTTTAAAATTAAAAAATAATTTTTTAAAAATATTTTACTAGTAATTTACCTGTAATTTACTAAATAATTCTCTATTTCCGATTAATAATGTCCCATCATTTAATATTTCTATTTCCCCCAATATAGACATTTCTATTGCTTTATCGCTTTAATTAAATTTTAATTAACTAAATTAATTTTAAAATTACTTTAAAATCCATTGAATATTTTCCTCATTATTTTTAGTTAAACATTTAATTTTTGTTTTATTATTGTCAGAAATTCCTTCAAAAACAATTTCTGGCTTAAAACATTCTAATTCTTCTTTTAATAATTTCGAAATTTTTTTATTTCGAAGATGGCCAGGATTGGCACATTTAGCTATCTTATTGTGATTATTATTGTGATTTGCTTGATGTTTATTTTGAGGATGAGGATGTTGATCTAATTTTTCCAATTCAGGTCTTTTCTCAAGCAAATCATTTAAAGGTATTAATCTATTTAATAAATTATTAAAACGTATTAGAATGCCGAACACAAGTCTTTTATTTAAATTTGGTTGGCCTCTGGGTGGGGGAGCGGCCTAATATGTACATATATACCCTCACTTAGATACCCTTTCATTTTTGTAAATAATATTTTCCAAACTCATGCGGGCATTTAAAATCGAGGAGGTTCAACTATAGTATAAAATTGTATACTAATTGCGAGCTGGATTTCTTGCTTAAACAACAAAATAATTAAAAGATCAGGAAATTTAAATTGTTAACCAATTCACAATTCACAAATATGTACTACAAATAATTATAACAAAACCTGCAATCACAATTCCAAGGGTTATTTCCCAATTCTAATTTATTTAATTTTTCATTTTTTTCAAATAAATATTTAGGTATTGACTGAATAAAATTTCCTTCCAAATTCAAAATTCTTAAATTATTTAAATTTTGAAATGCTTCCTCCTCAATTATTTTTATTTGATTTTTGTGTAAATCGAGTAATTGTAAATAATTATTAGAAATTATATTTGATGATAATTTTGGAATATATTTAATTTTATTGTTGCCTAAATAGAGTTGGTGCAATTTTGGAAGAAAATCGAGAAGATTCTTTGAGATAAAAGAGAATAATAAATTATATTAAATTAAAAGAAATCTAAAAGCCCTCCAATATCACATAATAGTACAATAATACATAAATTTGAACAAACATACTATACATATGTATAATTGTTTTTAATTTAATTTCAACTTACTCTGAATGCTGAAATAATTTCCCTCTCTCAAATAATTACCCCCCCCCCTTTTTTTTTTAATTAACCCCTCCAGCGAGAGGGTGAAACAATAAGTACTCGGTGTAATTATTTTAGCAAATACGGTATTTTACTTTATTTTTCCACTTTTTAATGTCACCCAAGTGGCAAATAAATAAAAAAAACAATAAATTATTTTTTAAATTAACAAACTTGTTCTAAATGCTCAATTAAATTGTGACTGAGTAAAAGTGTTTTTAAATGAGTAAATGAAGATAATAAATTAATTTGTAAATTAACTATATTATTTCTTCTCAAATCTAACACTTCCAAATGTTGACTAAATTCTCTTAAATTTGGAAATGTTGTTAACCCTAAGCCTTGACAATCTGCATGACGTCCATTTAATGAACATCGGCAAAGAGAAGGGCAATTATCTTTATTTAAATTTTAATAAAAAAATTAGTAGATTTTTTAATTAAAAACCGTTAGAGCCATAGACGAAAATTGGAAATAAAAAACATTTTAATAAAATAACAAAAATTATATTGAAGGAATTAAGCTTTAATAACATTAAATAAATTATAAATGTTTTTTAATTTAACTAAAATGAGCAGGTTTTTGATAAAATTCTCTTTAATTAAATATTTTAATTAAAAAATATTTCTTTAATTAATTAATTGATTTAATTTTAGAAAATTGATTGGCCTCAAGAAAATAATTAAACAAAGAAAAGAGTAATTATGGGGTGTTAAATGATTGAAAGAAAATAAATATATGTATAATTATAAATTTATTTATATGTCCTCCAATTAATTTTGTAATGATTACAGCAATAAATAAATGTATATTTAGGTAGTTGGAAAGTTTTGCGCAAAAAGAAAAAATATTTTTTTAACATTTTTGGTTTATTTATTGGTCAAATTAAGAGAGAAAGAGGGAGAGAGAATTTAAAAAATTAATTTAATTATATATATTTAATTTTTATAAAAATTTAAAAATATTTTTAAAAAAATTATTATTATTCTAAATATAGTCCATATATTTTCTAATCAAATTTTTAAAATTTTATTAAGTTTTAAATAAACAACTAAATGCACTTGTTTTTGATTGTTTTTAACTCCAAAAAATGTAAACAAATTGAAAATTGCAAATTAGCTTACCAAAAAATTGAAAAAGAAATAAAAAATATAGAAAATTAATATTGTGTTTTGCTTAGATTTTTAGAGGACAAATAAAAATAAATTTGGATATATCTGAAAGGTAATTTAATTTAGGTAGGTTGTCTTTTTTTGTTTTCTATTTTTCTTGAGGGCATTTGTATATATACATATTTTTATTTTACTTTTTTATTTTTTTAGTAATTTCGAGTATATGTATGTATATTTTTTAGAAAAAAGATACATTTCTTATTGAAAAAAACTTTATTTTAAATATAAATTAATTTTTTTATCTTTTAAAATGTGTAGACAGAGAAACTTCTAAATATTATTTCAAGTCACTAATTAAAATATTTAAATAACCCTTTGTTTTGATTACCAATTACCCCCTCCCCTCTCTTTGCTTTTACTTTAAAATATCCTTATTATTTCACTCCTAAAAAATTATTCCTCTAATCAACTAATTGAGAATATATTGTATCACAATTACAAGATAACTCTTTTTTGCTGTAAAAAGTTTAATTATTAACATGATAGCTCATAACGAATTGAGTTGAATGACTGTGAAATCGATGTGCAATCTCTAGATTTTCTATAAATATAATCATAAATTTAAAAATATATCTATAATTCTCATAATAATTTTAAAATATTTATATTTATAATTTAAGTATTCAATTTCAATATTTATTTGTGAATTCTTGCAAATCATTCAAAATATTTATTTAATAACTTTTGAAGTTCCCTAGTTTTGACAGAAAAAAATTATTAAAGAGTTCTTTTCTAAAAATAAATAATTTTTTTATTTTATATCTAAAATATTTTTTGATGTTCTCGTTACATAAATCTTGCGTCTGTTGTTGCTTTTTATTTTATTTTTATGCAGTCGGAAAAATGAATTATGATAGTGAACTAATAAAAAATAAATTAAAAAAAATGATTTAAAAATATAAAAATATTTTTATAAAATTCTAAACTTATTTTTACTAAATTAAAATTTTAATTTAATATTTTTAAGAAAAATATTTTTTTAATTTTTTCTTAAAAGAAAAATTATTTTATTTAAAATAACTTTTTAAATTATTGTCCTTTAAAACAAATTTAATTAAAATTTAAAATATAATAAATTAAAAAGAACTAGGAAACAAAAAATTATTTAATTTATTTTATTAAGCTTGTTGAATTGTTGTCACAACTGTTTAATATTTTTTTATTTTCAAAAAAATCCTTTCGAAAAAAATATTTAAAATAATCAATCATGATCGTTTTGTTTCTGAAAAAATAAAAAAAACTATTTTCTTATAAATGTTCGAAGTTTTTAACTTTTATTTAAAAAATATTATTTAAAACATGTGAAATATGTCAAATCTGAAACTCCTCAATTTTACTATTTGTGTTTTGGATACTTCAAATTTAGATCAAAATACTAAATTTTTTTCTATATTGTTTAGCAAAAATGAATTTAAAAATAAATTAATTAATTTTTCTATTTATCTTCGAGGTAACGGGAGATTAATTTATTTTTAATAATATTTCTTTAATTGAGTGATATCTTACTAACCCTAGTGGCCAGCCAAATTTAAAATACTAGTATTGAGTTTATCCGACAGTAATTAAATTTTGCAGGTCATTTAATACAATCTAGCTTATTATTAATTTTCTGTCAATTCTGGACCTTTTCTAATGGAAAAAAGGTTTTTTTCTCCTTTGACTTCAATTTTGGCCATATTTTCTTTTTACCTTCTTTTACCTAAAAAGCCCTTAGGTTTCATTTCACTCATCATTGCTTTATCATCAATGGGCATTTTTCCATCTGTATTCCCTTATAAACCGATAAATTGGAGTTGGCACATCCGGGACTTCTTTCCCCCTTTCCTCCCCCCTTTCCCTCTTCTCCTTCTTCAAAACCTCTTAACTTCCTTATTTTCTCATTTTCAAGACCAATTTTCCTCTTTTATTTATTTCAACAACCTCTGATTTGATTAGTTGTTATCCATCCCTTGAGTATTATTTATAATAGAAAATGAGAACAAGTAGTTTTTATTTCATTTTTTATTCTCTCTCTCCACCCCCAACATCAAAATAATTTTCTTCTTGAGTATTTTATATTACTAACTTTTTTTCTCATCATGAATTTTTTAACTCAAGTTAAATAACTATTTATATATATTAAATAATTTTTTATAATAAAAAGAAAAATAAATAATTTAAGTAAATATCAAAGATTATAGTAGATATATTTATACGGGTACGATGAGGATATTTTCTCCCGTTTTTCTTCGACTTTGCCCGTTTTTGTCCCTACCCATTCCTGCAGGTCCTTAATTTGGGTTTAGAAAAAGAATGAAATTATTTATAGTCCGAGTCTTAATAAATAAAATAGTTAAATAAAATTATTTTTTTAACTAAATTTTATAAAATAAATAAATATTTATTTATTTTATATCTGAATTTATTTTTACTTCTGCCCTTTTAAAAATACACTTTATCGCTGTGTGAAATTTTGAAAGATAAATTCAATATTCAGTCTTAAAGTCTTTCAAAACGTTTATTTTGTCAAAAAAAAATTTTGAAGTAAAATTATATTAAAATTTTAAATAACCAAAAATTAAACTTTCATATTTCAATAATTAAAAGAAATATTTAGATTCACTAAAACTAAATTAATTATAATAAATAATGGTATCATCTATTTCATTAAACCAACAAATTAACCAAATTGAAATTGAAAATTGTATTGAATTAAATAGTGTTTTGGATCAATTTGGTGATTGGACTTTACGTTTGGATGTTAAAGTATTTTTTGAATTTTAAAATTTTTTTAAATTAATTTTTAAACAGTTTTTCTATTCATTATTTTATGCCGCAATATTTATTGTTGGTTTAATAGGGAATGGTTTCCTTGTTGGAACAATAAGAAGGAGAATGACTGTAGCTAATGTATTTCTTATGAATTTAGCTATTTCTGATTTGGTTATTTATTCTGAAAGAAATATTTTTTGAATAATTTTATAGCTTTTATGTATTACTGCCCTCCCAATAACTCCAGTCTTAGCTTTTGTTAAGCGTTGGATATTTGGATTAGCACTTTGTAAATTAGTTCCTCTTTGTCAAGGAATATCTGGTGAAATTTTTAAAAATAAAAGAAAATAAATATTTTAATAAAATAGTTTTAATTTCTTCCTATTGTTTGTGTTTAATTGCTGTTGACAGATATAGGTCTATTGTTACTCCACTTAAAGTTCCTTGGAATATACAACATGCACAATGGTTAATGGTATTTAATTTACTAAAATATTTTATAATTTATCTTTACTTCTTCTATCCCTTTCAAAATTAAAAAATTTTCTTAAAAAATTAATATTTTATTTACTATTTTTTTCGTTAAAAGACACTCTGTTGGACTTTTTGTATAATTATTTCCTCTCCTTTATTTATTGTTCAAGGATTGCAACAAATTGTATATAAAAATATGACCTTTTGTGGAGAAGTTAATATTTATATAAAACTTTAAAAAGATTAAAAAAATTCTCTAGTTTTGTACTGAACTTAATTGGCCTACAGATTTTCGAATAAAATTATTTTATGGAATTTCTCTCCTTTCTATCCAATTTTTAATCCCCACTTTAATAATGACTTATTGTTATTGGAAAATTTTACAAAAAGTTAGACAAGATTGGTTAGTTCCAACAAATAATTCAATAATGAGTTTGGAACAACAGGCACAAACAGCAATTCGAAAAAGAAGAGTAATGTGAGTTTTTAAAAGTTTTGTTATTTTTAAAATAATTTTTAATAATTAAACAGGTATGTGCTAATTTTGATGGTTAGTTTAATTTTTTAGAATTATTTTGATTATTTTTTAATTAATTTTAAGCCAATTTTCTAATAATAATTAATTTCTGTAAGAAAAATTTTTAAGATAAAACTTTATTACATAACACTTATGAATCTCCACTATCTCGCTATCTAATCTTAATAATCTTTTTTCCTTTTGTTTTGATGAGATAGTTAAATTAATTATAAAAGAAATATTTTATGTACAAAAAATAACTTAGATTTTTACACAACACAAAATTAGATTTTAATTTTACAAGTAATAAATTTATAAAATTAAATGTATATTATTTAAATAATTAAAGCTAATTTAAAATAAATTTAAATTAAATAAAAAAATAAACTATTAAATTTTACTTTTACAAGTAATAAATCTATAAAATTAAATGTATATTAAATAATTAAAGGTATTAATATTTATGGGTTCCTGGATGCCACTCACATTTGTTAATTTACTTCGAGATATTGGAATTAGCTTTTTGGAAACACAAATGTATTTCAAATTACTTAATGTTCACGCTGTAGCAATGACATCTGTTGTTTCTAATCCTTTATTATATTTTTATATGAGCAAAGTAAATCAAAAATATTTTTAAAAACCAAAAAAAAATATTTAGAGGCATAGACGAGCCCTTCGTGATGATATGTATTGGTTAACAAATGCACGTCGCCAACAAAATCAACATGTTGGCGGCCTTTTAGCCAAATTTACTCCAAGTCCTTCTATAGGGCTTTTATATAAGAAAAGTTTAGAAAGGCATATTCTTCAAAATGCTACAGCTAAATATAATCCTTATAGGTGCCTAAATTAAATTTTAAATAATTTTCCTTCTTTAAATGTATTCTAGACGGGGTACTTTAGCAGATCCAACAACTCTTGGAAGAGAAAAAGCATTACAAGAAATGCATGCAAATTGTTTTTTATTGGTTCCATTAATGCCCCTTTGTGTTGCAAATCAGCAACGTTTAGCAACAAATCAAAGAGAAATATCTAATAATAATAATAATATTAATTTAAATTTTAAACGACAAAAACATCCTAAATTTGTTTGTGAAGCTTGAATAGGGCAATACTGTATACCGTATATGCTGAAATAATGTCCCTCTCTCAAATAGTTACCCCCGCCCTATTAATTACCCCCTTCAGCCAGAGGTCGAAAAAATAATTACCCCTCTTAAAAATAGTTATAATTAGCCTTTCTAAAAAAAGCTTAAATAATTACCCTTTCCCTATTAATTACTCCCTCCAGCGAGAGGTTGAAACAATAATTACCCTTGGTAATTGTTTTAGCAAATACGGTATATTAAATTAAAGTTCTTTCTTTTCTCAAGCCTTTTAATTAATTTTTTGGCACTTAAAGATTGAAGTGTTTTCCTGTAGGAGGTTTTAAAGCTCTTTACTTAATAAATCTCTTTCCTCATTTATTTTAAATCACTGCAATCTTTACAAAGTGCCAATTTTTTATAAGTATTGTACATATTTTAAAAATTCTTAATTTATGTTATAATATATTTTGCTGCTATTAATTTAAAGTATATATTACTTATCTTTATCAAAGTTAAATTAACGTTTGATCACGATTTTACATACACTCGGGTGAAAATTTTGAGGTCGACCTTTTACATCAACGCCATATGTACCAAAGTTCGTACAAGTACAAGTAAGTACAAGTAGAGTACGAGCAGCTTCCGTAAACTCCTGTGTCGATTTTATGATCTGAAAAATCGACGCCATAACCGTATCTAGTTACCATTATTTCCCAGAGTAAGACTTTAGACTTGGTTTTTTCTGAATTTGCTATAAAAGCGTAATTACAAAAAGCAAATATCGTCTTCAATTTTTAACCTTCACGCTTCGACAAACACCGCAACATGTCAAGGAGGGCACGCATCGACATTAATCGTTTCTTTGATGAGTTCTTCGCAGGAATCTTGGATGGTCGTATCGAGAGCAAGATCACCAGAAAGGTAAACAATTAATTTTTAAGTTTGACGTATTTGATTCCCAAAAATTTCAGGACATCCGCGAGCTGTTGACTTCCGTTCGTCGAGTTTTTTTGACACAGCCTATGTTCCTTCGTCTTGACACGCCAGTTGTTGTATGCGGTGATCTTCACGGACAATTCAACGATGTTGTGCGGATATTCGATGCGGAAGGTTTCCCGCATATGCGGAACTACCTTTTTCTCGGTGACTACATTGATCGTGGCCAGCAGTCTGTGGAGCTGATACTCTTCATGTTTGCGTGCAAGGCAAGAAATTTAATTTTTCTCTCTTATAAAATAAAATCTGATACATTTCTATTCAGGTCCGGTATCCAAAGAACTTCTTCATGCTTCGCGGTAATCATGAGACATCGTCCATCAACAAAGCCTACGGCTTCCATCATAGTGTGATGACGAAATATAAGAGCGAAGCACTCTACGAGAACTTCCAACGAGTCTTTGACTGTATGCCGTTAAGTGCCTTAATCTCCGATCGAATCTTATGCATGCATGGGGGTTTGAGTCCTGGATTGTTGGAGGCAAAATCATTGGACATTCTTGATAAAATCAGTCGTCCACTACCTGTGAGTTATAAATTTTAGGATTTTTGTTTTACTTTTTTTTCCTTAGGACAATAGGATTTCAGCAGATGGCAATCAGTTGGCGACCGACTTGCTCTGGGCTGACCCTGACATCAATGTTCGACTTTTCAGTTCTTCCAACCGTCGTGGTATTGGACGCATGTTTGGCCAGGAAGTGATCGACCGTGTTCGGCAGCGATTTGGCATCGATCTCATAGTTCGCGCTCATCAGGTTTTTCAATACACAGTGGCCAGTTTTGTAAAAAACGTTTTTTTTTAATTTTAAGGTGGTTCTGGATGGACATGAGTTTTTCAACGACGATGCAAGTTCGGGACTGATCACGCTATTTACAGCGCCTCATTATTGTGGCCAGTGAGTTGATAAATTTTAATTAAATTTATTCAAAAATCTTTCCAAATAGGTATGACAATTCGGGAGCGATTATGCGAGTGGCTAAGGATATGGGTGTCTCATTCAAGGTGTTCAAGCCTCAGCTTCCAAACAACAACTCGTCTCGACGATCAAAAAGAAATGAATGATGTGCAAGGATGTGTGTGAAATATAAAGATAATAAATTGTATAAAGATTAACCAGTTGTTGTGCACTTTGTATATTTCTTGGTATATTTAGAAAGTATTGTGCCGTTTTTCTTGTATACATAAATTGTTTATTAAGTATTCGACTATTTTTTCCATTGTTGATCACTCCGAATGATATTCATTCCCTTTAATTCCTCCAGGCCTTCGATTAAGGTTGCAAATACATATTAAAAATTGTTGATAAAATCCTCAGTTGAGGGAAAAAAATAAGAGGGAATGGGATGGTGTTGAAGATCCCCTTAATCCTCAAAATTCTCTTGATCCCCATATATCACGCCCAGATCCCCCGATACACCCTTAATCCTTTCTAATCTCAACTATTAGGGCCCAGCAACAGATGAACTTTTTTAATGGAAAGTAAATTTAAAAATAAAAGGAAAAATGTAAAGTTGCTCTCGAGTTACAGTAACCTCAAGTTTGTAAAAAAATGTCAATTTATTCTATGGAATTTTACTCGGACCCCGGAGTTATTTAACCCTGGATTATTTAACCCGGTTATTCAACCGGTTATTTAACCAAGAATTTATTCAATGGGCCCAAGTTGGACGTTTAATTAATGTTACTCATGTGAATCACTCATAATTATTTTAAAGTGTTGCTAAAAAATTTAGATTTTTTACCCGGCTCGCTCTCAATCTATTGGCACTTAACTGTCAGCACTAAGCTGACCCCAACCAAGTTTTTTATTCTCAAGAATCAATACAAGACCAGACTACATATTTCTCCTTCTTTATTTTTTATTTCCCTTTTCTCTCATTTTTTAGTCACAATCACCCCAATGGCGAATAATATGTATACCTAAATGTTCTTATGAGTAAAAGATATAAAAATAAAAAACACTGTTGGAAAAGAAAATTAAGTAAAATAAATAGCACAATTCAATCGTCTTGCTAGTACATATGCATCGTCAAATGGTCGCTCTTTAAAAGATCAACTCGACCAAAATGGGTCAAAATGTAGTCAGCTAGAAATCGACAAAATATCGACACTAGCAAATGCGTCATAAGATAGTCACGGGCAAAAATGGTCAAAATGTCGACTCCGCTAAAATAGGTTAAAACGGCGATAATGAAAATCTTTAAAGGACACTTGAATCCTAGCAGACAATTGATTGTTTTTTATTTTTGTTCTGATTGTTTTTATTCTAGTTTTTCTAATTTGAGTTTCTTGTTCTGATTTTGTTAGCTTCAACTGATAAAATTCAACTGCGGCACTCAACCGGCCTTTTCCGCAGTTCTTTTAGAAAACGATGTTTTGACCATTTTGCCTAGTCGATCTTTAAGGAAACGATCTTTTAAGAATTCGACCTTTTACAAACGTTGTTAGTGATGACATCTCTCTCTTTATTCAATTCACTCTCTTCTCGTGCACTTTTCATGTTGCAGTGTATTAAGCAATGAGCGCAAAACGAGGGAAGGGGAATTCGTCGCATTCCTCTCACTCTCACCAATGGAAGCAAAGTGCTACATATGTCAAACCCTTTACTTTTCCTATTCCACCCGAACTACCAGGCACCATCCAAAAGCACATTGACTTCCTCCACAACTCCTCAATATAGTGGGATACTACCCAATACCCCTTTAAGAGTTAGTTCAATGCAACTCATCTTTAAACATTTTACATAATTGAAATTTCATTAATTTATACATCAATCTTGATCCTCCTGTATTGATAAAAATTTAACCAAAATATCTTCAGTAAGCATCTCATTCTTTGGTGAAAGAATGAGAGAGAGAGAGGAAGAGTTATAAGGAAAGGACTTGTAGGGTCGCTATGTAAAATAAAGGAATGAGTAAATGATGACAAGACGATTTCAGTTACTTTTTAATCCTTTTTAAAGCAATTTTCAAGATTTCTGCAGAAAATGGTTGTCATCATCTATTTTTCTAAGTTAAGGACTATTACCTTTTGATTTGATTTCAAATGATTTTATAACTCTTTAACTTTCAATCATTGATTTACCTTATATTACATCTTAAACGATTTTCAATTATAGTATTCGTTTTAAGAAGTTCATCTCTGCTTTGATAGCGATTTTAATACATTCTAATGTCTTTCAATCAAGAGGGGCGTGAATTGGATGAAGAAAATCCATGCGATGGCCTGAGACGTTCAAAGCGCAACAAATACCATTTAGATGTAGCAGCTGTTATTAAAAGTGGTGGCTGCTCCTCTTCTGGGCGCAACTATTCCCCGCCAGCGAAGAGAAAATGGGCCTCGCGTCGACCTGGGATTCTACAAGCACCAATTTTGAGAGAAGAATCAGCAACACAACAACAGAAAGTTTCGCCCCGACGAAATGACAAACGGAAACAACTGGAGAAATCAGTGGCACTTGAAAAGGAGAAAATAATAAACAAGGAATTAGGTAAATATTAAACTCTATCTCATAAAACTTAAATCGAACTACCAAATATTTAGAACATCAAAAGTACGTAAACGCGGATAAACAAAATAGCCAAACTGAACAATTATCAAATACAGATGATGAGGGATCTTTATTAAAACAAAAACCCGAAATAAAAGCACAACAGGATGTTGTGAGAAATGACTCTACTTTAACAGATGCTATAATTGAAGGTATTGCAATGTATTTTGAGATATTTAAATTTAACTTTGTGTTAGTATAATATATCAGAATCTAATGGTCGCGATTTATCAACCTTATGGGGTTTTCGTCAGGCCAAAAGGGTCTCAACCGAGTCTCAACTCTGTCCTCTCGAATGATGCCATTTTTGTAAAAAATACCATGTGTTTGTTTTATAAAAACCCTCTGACTTTCGCACATTTCGGGTCCGCAAAATTTTGTCACACAGAATTCTAGTCCGCAAGTTTTGCGTACGAATTTACTTATACAACCGTGAAGCTTTTGACCAGGGACTCATTCAGCGGGACTCTTTTGTCTTTCTTTTTCCCGTCGGGGTTTCAATTTTTTATGACTGATTAAAGATTTCTTTATTAATATTTTTATCTACTTTGTAGGATTCACACATAATCTTTTTCTCATGACAATTTTGATCAAATAATTTAATACCGAATTTTAGGTGAAAGTGAATCCACGGAGTTGGTTGTTCCCACAGAATTTTTGCAGAGCCCTGTTTTTTCTGATCAGTCTTCATGCCAATTAATTGGAGAATTTAAACGAGTGCGCAAAGTACCTGTTCGACACAAGGACTACTGCAGTAGGGAACGACATATCAACGTTTTCTTAAGAAAAAAAAGTTGATTTAATAATATCAACAATTATTCGCGAACAACTTTTTTTTAAATACATAACGCCAGAACAACGTTAATATCAACGTTTTGCGCCAAACAACTGCGAATCAACGTTTTTGTATCTTTTTTTCTCTGCTCTGCCATTATATTTCTCTTCTTTTTTTCTGTTAATTTTCGTTCGTGTAGTCTCTCCTTTGGAATTTAAAAGAATTTTACGAGTAGGAATTTTTTTATTAAAATTGAAAAAATATATAAAACAACAAAATTTTATCCATCTTTAAATAATGATTGTAATGAAGTGGAATTTTGTTTGAAGTTTCTTTCCAAAATTTTAGCAAATCTAGCTTATGTCCTCCCAAATTCTTACATCCAGTTTCATACTGTTCCATCTCAAAATCTAGTCCTTTCTCGGCCAAATCATCGTTTTTAATTTCTGTTTGTAACTTTTTGAATAATCACGACGAAGTTTTGGTTTACAAATAATTTGTACATCCCATGCAGCCTTGAAAAAAATATTACTTATACTTTTTAATTTAAATACTAGGGTTGTTGGCAACCGATTATCAACCGGTATCCCCGGTTTTCGGTTTTTAAAATTTTCTAAAAACGGTTAATTTTTGGCAAAAAATTTAAAAAATTCCGGGTAATAGTTTGGAATTCGCCCCCCTTTTTTTCAACATTTCCCTGACCATTTTGAGCTTGTTTGTTTGATACATAATTTATCATACATCTTTCGAAAGCGCTCATCGAGCTTGGTCGAATGATACCGTGATTGACCAGATCTGATCATTCTTACCGAAATTATGAAGCCAAATCCTAGTTTGGGCAAACTTTTTGTGTCAATGCAAGTGGATAAAATATACGGTCACAACTTTGTTCACTTAAGTCAGATTTCGTTAATTTTAATGTCATTCGACTCAGCTCGAAGAGCTCTTTCGAATGATATATAATTTACTATGAATTGAGAAAAAACTAGGAAAAAATAAAGAGGAAAAAAAAGGGGGGGCGAATTCCAAACTATTACCAAATTCCGGTTTTAAAACCGGTCGCCAACGACCCTATTAAATACCTTAAAAAATTCTTCATGAAATACAGACCTAAGTAATTTAGTACTTCGACATTCTCTTGTTCTCTCAAGAATCCAATCAAACCATACTTGCAAATCATATTCAGAATCCACTTTTGGCTAAAGCTGCTCTGACTAAATCATCTCCTAATACTTCTCCTCTCCAAGCATTTTCCAATTTGATCATTTCTATCATTAATCTGTTCATTGTACATTTATTTTCGGCCTAAAATTTAAATTTTCTAAATTTCAATATTATTTTTTACCTCAAGTATTTTCAAAGGTGCTTCCAACATTGAAACAGTTTGAATATAAGCTTCAAAAAGATTTTGCTTGGAAAAAATTCGTTCCATTCTCTCTGTGTGATTTCCAGAATATTTGTTAACAATTTCTTTAAACGATTCTTTATCTTACATTAGATCCCTCATCAGTAATAAAAACGATTTTTGACATGTCAAGCCCAAGATAGGTAAGATTTTTGTTGACTAAATCAGATATATTTTTTCTGATTTTGGAAATGTCTCCAGGAATTGGAAGACACGAAAGTACAAACATTCATTCCATGATCGCCTACTCTTCGGACTTCCTAGATTAATCCCTTAAGGAAATCGGATTTTCGACGTTTCGATGACGGTGTCACAGGTTCTTCGAGATCGCCGCTTTCGAATGCGACTCTTAATTCATTTTCAAATTCATCCATCTAGTAAGAATATATGTGGAAAAATCCCTAAAAATTACAGAAAAAAGACTGAACATTTATAAAAATGGAAAATTGCAAATTCCAAAGGAGAGACTACACGAACGAAAATTAACAGAAAAAAAGAAGAGAAATATAATGGCAGAGCAGAGAAAAAAAGATACAAAAACGTTGATTCGCAGTTGTTTGGCGCAAAACGTTGATATTAACGTTGTTCTGGCGTTATGTATTTAAAAAAAAGTTGTTCGCGAATAATTGTTGATATTCGCCGCGAATCAACGAAAACGTTGATTTGTCGTTCACTATACTGCAGTGATGTAGAAGATGATGAAGCCGAGGAGGATGATGAGGAGAGACTTTTTAAGGATATCAAAGTCGAATATATGCTTACGGATGGATCTAATGTTTATAATCTTTTGTTTTTTAACTTTTATATTTAAGGCATTTGGAGGATCTTCTTGTCCACGATGTCCTGCTATTTTCGAGTCGCGAGTTGGATTAACTAATCATATAAAATTGCATGTTTCGAAAAAAGTGCTTCCGTGTGAGGTCTGCGACTTTTCTTGTACAAACAAAAAGACAATGCGTCAGCACAGGTTTTAATCAATTTTTCACAAAATACCCAACAATTTCAGACGAGTTCATGGATTGATTCGGCGACGAAGAAATCCACCCTTGATTCTGAATGCCAATTCGATTGTGAAGTCTTCAGAAAATTCAGGGCAATTCCATGTACTCGATTCCAGCATCCGAACAAATAACAGTATTCCATCAAACACTCTTAATAACAACATACACGATCAAGTTATATTATTTAAGATTAGATTAATTATTTATAGATCAATAAAAAATTTTCAAAAAAGGACTATATTTCGAAATAATTAATGATTTAACTTTTTATATCGATAGTTATTTTCCCCTATATTTTCGATCCTCATTCTGGTGTTTTAAAAGGGTTACTCGATGAATTTTAGTTTTAATTCTTATTTTAAGATGGAAGGTGTTCAGCAAAATATTCACAGCAGAATCGACTTAAATATAAAGATGGAAGAAGCTCGAGGTGAAGATTCATGTGAGGAACCAATAATTGTGATAAGTTCGTTGGATGAAATCAATCCATCGGGCAATGCTGACCTATTAACTACAAGACAACCCTACGGTGACACTTGCTTTCCAAGTTGGTCCAAAATCTCTAGTTTTTACGCTTTATATTCTAACTTAAGGTGGGAGCAATGGTGAAGATGTCATGCCAATTCTTGAACAGATAATGCCTACATCGAATACTTTACAAATATCAACTGGAAAGGAATTGACAATTAGCGATTTAGATATGAAGACGGGGAAAGGGGAAAATAAAATATATATTGCGCAAAATAAAAGGAGAGAAGAAAAGAAAGGAAACAAACGACTATTGAATTTGGATGCTATAGCGGGTCTGAAAGATTTGGATGAAAATAGTTTATATATAAAAAAGGATAGTAATAGCACAAAGATTTATGATCGTAACACTGTACACTGCCCAAAGTGTCCGTTCCGAACACAGAGCAGACTTCGTTTAGCACCGCATATGGCTGGACACGAAAGGCAAGATCAAACAATATTTGTAATAGTATAAATTATTTTTGCAGAAGCTCGGGATTTGTGTGTTCAGTCTGTCAGTTTAAAAATGAATCAAGCGGTCTATTACGTCGTCATTGTCAAATGCACGAGAATGATGGAGTTATTTGTAAATGGCCTCCAGATTATGTGGGCGCTCCTTCATTAGCTAAAGGCAACAATAGACATGGCTCACCGCAGAAGAAACAAATTATTAAAACGGAATGTAATGTCTACAATGGAAATCGAAATTTAATTAATAGCCAAAAGAAGACACTTTATGAAAATGTTGGTTCTGGAGGTGCTTTTTATATTTCTTTTTAATATTTTTGTTACAATATACCTAACTATTTTTCTTCTGTATAAATGCGTAGAATTTACTTTCCAGTCTCCAATTTTCCTGTTTGGTATTTAGGCAGCTTTTGGGGTTTTGTTATTTCAGCGGCAATTTTATGTTTTGGTATTTAGGCGGCTTTTGGAGGTTTGGTTTAAGACGCTAGTATTTCGGCATTTTGGTATTAAGGCGCACTACGCATTTTTACTCCAGAGAAATATAGTTTTGTATTTGTAACATAGGCGTTACTCCAGCCCATTTATACTTTTTAGATGCTCCATTCAATCCATCTGTGAGCAAAAATCATGGCTGCTTTCTAAAGGAAACAATGAGTCTGAGAAGTTCTGGTTCATTCTTGAAGTCCTCTTCTTTTTATACAAGAAAACTTTGCAAGTTTTCTTGTCGTTGGTGCTCATTATTGTTTTGGTCAGGACCAGCTGGTCTTCTTTTGCATAAATTGCGACATCATCCAAGAATGGACAAACAACGTTTAGTACTTTATAAGGAGCTTTTACTTGAACGTTTGAACTGGAAACCACCCAAGCCAGAAATTAAGTTAGTAATTATTTAAATATGTTTACATTAATTTATGACAAAACATTGCTATTCGAGTGCTGAAAATCTTTTATTCTTATAATTTGCAGGAATAACGTTATTTCTCCTATAATTAACGATTCTCCTGCCTTTGATTTATCTAATGATGAAGATCAGGAGTCAAGGATAACAACACCTCGTAATTTCCCATATCGTTGTCGTCATTGCCCTTTCAGCACAGATCAAATTCTTCGACTTCAAAAACATGAAAACAAGCACATTTTCAAGGCTGAACATTGTGTAAGTTACCTTTTATTTTAAAATAATCTTAATCATTTTTGTGCAAATTCTTTTTTTCAGTGTCAACAATGTTCATACTCATGCCGCTCCATGCACATACTTATGCAACATTCTCGTCTTCATGAAGTAGAACCAACATCCTCTTCAACAACTTCACTTTCCTCTTTTCGGTTTCCTGAAGCCGGTACTTCATCTTATGAAAATCAACAAATGCCTTCAGATAACTTTCATCGAGAGGACCCGTCATCCTCTAGGAGAACTAACTTTTGCCCACATTGTCCATACAAATCGAAACATAATTGCGATATGAAAGCACATCTTAAAGTTAAAAAATTTTAGTTTCGTATGAAATTGTAGGTATTTTTCTTTAGATGCACGTTGAACGTCGTAAATTTGCGTGTCGTCACTGCACCTACAGTACAATGAGGTATATTTTTAACTTTAGATTTATTGAAAAATTTCGACATTTTAGACAGAATGCTCTTATTTCACATGAAAAACTTCATCAAATAAACCTCACAGATAAAGGTGCGTGTCGACGTGTGAAATGGATTTATGCGAAAGAGAATGGCGAGCGTAGTGCTCATTTGGGTTGGCGTATGCGCATTTTGCGCAGTGGTTGGCATTTTTATCGCTGTTCTATCGTCGAATGTGGAGCAGAATTTGCATTTTGTGCAGAACTTGTGCAACATTCTCGTCATCATCATTTGGCTTGGTGGAAAAAGAAGAATGAAATCGTTGCTCGAACCAGAAACCTAATAAGATGTACTATCTGTGGTTTTCGTACATCGCTAGAAATGAGGATGCGTGATCATGAGGCAGTTCACCAAAACGATGGGTGCAAAAATGTGCGGTCTGTTGGAGGAGTCTTCAACTGCAGGTGATTTTCTTTTTAATTTTAACTTTTAATTTAATTTCTTCATTATTTAAGAGAATGCCCATATTCTACAGCCAATTACGCAAAATTTTGGAATCATCGTCAAAAGCATAAAAGAACTAATCGATTTGCTTGTTCGTTGTGTTCATTCAGTTCTGGTTCTATTCAATGTTACATCGAGCATTCTAAATTGCACGGAATTTTAAAAATTGAATCTGAAGAGGCTGTTGATAAAGCAACGAATAATGTTAAGTTTGAAGCAATTGGAATGGATGGAGACAATATAGAAGTACCTGAAGACGATGGCAATAATGTATCATCATCTTCTACTTCTTTGGATCAATTGAAATCTGATGATTTACCAATATTTAAGAAGCAGAAATTTCAAGAACAATTTGGGGCAATTAAACCTGTTATTGCACACTTAAGGAATGCACATTTAGTCAAAGAAACTGGTGAGTTTTTTGTTTTTAAACAAAAACTATTCTGATTTTTTATTCTTATTATTTTTAATTAATTACTATTCTATAATATAATTTACTATTTAGACTCTTCTTCTTCTAATTCTGCTTCTCTTAAAAATACTGCAGGATCTTGCATGGAATGCCCATATAGTGAGGATTTTTTATGATTTTAATCTTTTTATAATGAAAAAACATGATTTTTAAAGATTTTTTATCCTTTTTAGAAACATGCGATAAGGTTTTGCTTAAATTGCATATTCAAATGCATAAAAGAAGTGGAATCCGGCCATATTCATGTAATCTCTGCACATTTCGTTGTTTTTCTGCTGAATCTCTTCACTCACATTTATCTCTTCATTATCGTTCCTTTACTTCTAAAAATGTTGATAGAAATGACGATCAATTTAAAACATCTAGCAATCCTTCTTATCAATGCTCTCATTGCAACTTCAAGTGTATTGAATTGGACTCTTTTCTACTACACCGAAAGGAGCATGTTCAGGTTTTATAATTTCATTTTGATAATTTTATTAGATCAAATTTTATTAAAAATTATTTTCATATGGAGCCTTTATAGCAATAAATAAATCTAATTTAAATTTAGCTTTTACAACAACGCCTTATGACTATCATCAAACGGTCTGCTAATGACAATGTTTTAGTAAAAGAAAATAAAACAAGATTTTCACGAAGTGCTCGTTCTGATAGACAGCACTTTTGCTCAAAATGCTCATTTAAATGTAAATTTAAGTAAATTTCCTGATCGTTTATTTTATAATTAAGGTGATAGTTTACAAGCATTTTCTCTTCATATGGAGCATCATCAACCAAACCAACAAGATATTTTTAATTGCAGCATATGTGATTATAGTTCAAATACAAAAGCTGTTGTTATTTTTCATGAGAAGAATCATCACCTGGTATTTTTATAAAGGAGTTTATACAAGATATATTTTAATTTCTATGTTAAGGATGTTCCATTGACTTTACTTTGTCAGAAAATTAAGCTTCAACAAGAAGAAAATAATAAACCAGTTTCATTGCCAGAAGTAGTCCATGACATTTTTTAACTTTTTCTTTCATTCTCATATTTTGTTTTCATATATTTTTTATAAATGTAATTAATAAAAAATAATTGCAATTATTTATAAGTTTATCTCTACTCATATTTTTTAGATTTTTATCTCATGTTTAATCGATTTAAGTTTATGGTTAATCAATTATCACCATACTTTAAAGAAGCTGCAATTATTTTAAACAGAGCATTGAACAAAGAAGGCAGTGTCAGACAGTTTATCTACTCAAGCAAATTGAAGGTATTTTTTGTATTTTAAAGATCTTTTAAAAATTGTGCGTGAGGGATGGGTTCTATTGACTCTTATTTTTCTCATTATCCTTTCTGAAATTGTCTAATTCAGTCTAATGGAGTGCAAAATTTCTAACAATGATTTGGATAAGGAATCTATATTCGGGCAACGTTTTCTCAATGATGAAACTCGTGTCTTCGAATATAATGCATGGGATGATGTCGATTGGCCTGAGGAAAAAGAGAAAGAAATAAAGAATACGATTGAACTGCAACAATCACATCCTGTTGATGATAAAATCGTAGCTGATCTTCTTGATACACCAAATAAGCAATGGGAGACATTCTATCTTTCGCATGGAAATAAATTTTTCATGAACAGAAAATGGGTAATCCGCGAGTTCTCTGAGTTGTTTAGCGAGGTATCTACGATATTCCAATGTCGTTTAAAAAATTCACGTTCAGAAGTCTGCTACAGATGGGCCAATTCGCATTTTGGATGTTGGTTGTGGAGTCGGAAACACTACAATTCCAATTATTCAGGCAACAAATGATTCAAATTTGTTCATATATTGCTGTGATTACTCAAAAAAAGCAGTTGAATTACTACGTTCCGATAACCGCGTTCCAGCTAATCGATGTCATCCGTTTGTTTGGGATATCACTGAGAATACTGATCAAGTTAGCAATTGAAAAAAAATATCAAAAATATCTATTTAGATCCCTGAAGAATCACTTGACTATATTCTGTGCGTTTTTGTTCTTTCTGCAATAGCACCAAGTCATCTAAAACTAGCCATTTCAAACTTAGTTCGTCTTTTGAAGCCGGGTGGAATTTTAATGGTAAAGGACTATGGTCGATATGATTTAACACAATTGCGTTTTAAACGTGACCGCTTTATTGACGAAAATTTTTATCGTCGTGGTGATGGAACATTTGTATCATACTTCACTACAGAGGAGTTGCACGAATTATTTTCTCAAGTTGGATTAGAAAGGATTCAAAATATAATGGAAAAACGACTGGTAGTTAATCGAGCCAAGAAGATTACAATGTAAAAATCTATTAAAATATTGCAACTTAAAATATAAAAAATCATTGAAAATTATCTAGAATTTTATCAGAATTTTTCGAGTACATCAAAAATTAAATCTAATAAACCATTAAACACCGAAACATTTTAGGTACAGAAGATGGGTACAATGTAAATATTTGAAACCTGGATGATAGAGATAACTTTTTGTGCACTTTTTCAAATTTTTTTGTCTTTCGTTTATTCTTTTCTCTTGTTCCATTTAAAATTTGTTAGTTATTGTCTTCATTTTTATCTTAATTTTTTAAGTTTAATATACATACTTTTTATGATATATTTTTCTTTATACATTTATACCTTTGGGGTTATTTAACTATTAAAAATTTACTAAAATATTTAAATTAATTTCAGAATAAAAGAAAGTTGCTCAAACTTTGCTGTGAAGTTGCGAAGTATCGCCCTTTGCTTCTTAAATTATATAAACAACGTTCAGTTTCAAATTATTTGTTAAAAACTTGGCCAGCAATTACATGTGATGAAGCATTGTTTCTACTTTATGAGTTTACTTTTGGACGTTTAGGAATGAAAAAAGATGGAAATGATCATGAAGGAAAGAATGAATGCTACTTTAGAAATATTCTGTCAGAAGAGGTCTCAAAATTAAAGCTTTCATTTTTTTAAATTATTTGTTTTTGCATTTTCAGATAACCAGCCTTGAACGTAAAGGTTCTGTAAATCATTTAACTGTGCAAAGTGAAGCATCATTACTCCCGCGGTATGCACGCGTGAATCCTTTGAGAGAACAACTACCTTATGTTTTGGATTTATTAAAAGATCAAGGCTGGACGGTGCGTCGATTGAAAAAGCTGATTCCCCCGTTAAAGTACCGTAAACTTGTTGCTAGACTGGAGCCATTAAAATGCTACATTGATCCACATATTGACAATCTTTTGATTTTTCCTCGTGGGACCGATCTGCACGATCATATTTTGGTGAAGCAAGGAGTTTTAATCCTTCAAGACAAAGTAATTTGATTTATATAATTATTATATTTAGTGTAATCTAGGCAAGTTGTTTCCCTGCTTTTTTGTTATCTCCACAACCAGGTTCTTTTGTAATGGATGTTTGTGCAGCACCCGGGATGAAGACTACGCATCTGGCAGCTTTAATGAAAAATAACGGGTAATTAACTAATTCTTGTTATCTGCTATCTTAAATTTTAGCAAAATTTTTGCATTTGATCGAAACGCTGAAAGACTTAATTTATTACAAAAAATGTCTAAAAATGCAAATGCACGTATTATTCAAGCACAATGTATTGATTTTTTACAAGTTGATGTTAACAAATTCACACAGGTATATTTAATTCATTTTTATTTAAATACATAATTTAATAAAGGTTGAATATGCACTCGTTGATCCGCCATGTTCAGGTTCAGGAATGGTAAAACGTGGTGAATTTTTTGATGAATTTGAACAACCAAATACAGGACGAATTAAATCATTAGCTAATCTACAGGTTTTTAAGCTTCTCGGTTTTCTTTTTAAATAAATTTTACAGGCAATGATTTTGAAGCATGCACTTCGTTTACCTTCCCTACGTCGACTAGTTTATTCAACTTGTTCAATTAATTGGGCGGAAAATGAAGGTGTTATTTTTGAGGTTTTAGAGGATGTTGAGATTAGTGACCGGTTTATTTTGGTAAATGCGTTTAATCAGTGGAAGCATAGAGGAGAATTGAATGAGACTTTCAATAATAAAATTTTCAGTAAAGAAGCGGCAGAAGAAATAGTTTCTAAATGTATGAGAGCTTCTCCAAAAATTGATTTTACTAACGGATTTTTTATTGCTATTTTTGAAAGAAGAAATAAATAGTTATAATTTTTTTAAATTTTTTAAACAACGTTTAGTTATATAAACAAAAATTTATGATAATTTAAAGATATTTTGTTGCTTTCTTATTGTTAGTTAGTCATATAATTTCCTAGTTATTATGTCTTTTTCAAAATTTAATTTGTTGGCCAATATTGGTGCTTTGGCCTCTGTTCATAATCTGACAGCAGGTAAATTAATTCCTATTTTTTCGATTTGAAATTCTAAGTTTTAGTTCGTTGTCTGCATGTTCGTAAGCGATGGATGCGTCCATACTTAAAGGATTTGTATAACAGGCGTGTCATGGCTGGCCCTGAACCTCTCGTGAGTCGGTCCGCTAGGGACAATTGGTAATTTTATGCTTGTTCCTTATATAAATCTCGATTTTTTAAAATTTTCTCTTAAATCTTTTAGGAATTACACGTCAGAAATATTCGCATTCTCTCATAGACTTGGAATTTCTGAACTTGACCATGAGTCAATTGTCAAAGCACTCACAAACAAAAGTTTTTTCGAACGAAAAGATGTTGAAGAAGGTGCTATGTATCCCCAGCCATCAATGGACGAAGAAGTGCAAATTATGACAAACGAAAGCAATGAGGATCTTCGAGAGAAAGGTTCTTAATTTTGATGAAAATAATTATTATTTTTAATTTAAGGCGAAGTCCTTTTTAGGCATATATTACTTTCTTATCTGCGAGCACATTGGCCTTTGGCACCAGAGGTTTTTTTTATCCAATTATCGTTTTTTTTTAAATTTTTTCAGGAGTTCATAATTGCCGTTGCAATGCATTTGGCTTCGAACGAAGTCCTCGCTCAAATAATTAATCATTTGGGAATTCAACATCTTGTTCGTACTGGCGAATTTCCGCCATCTGAGGAAACACTTCAGACAGCTCTTCTTGCTTTACTCGCTTCAATTGATGTAACAAAGGCCCGAAACTTTATTCGAAATTTTGTACTTCCACGTTTATGTGAAGTTCCAATAGAAGATGTTCTTCCCTTTCGACAACCTTTTAAAATTCTTCAGGATTATATGAATAAATGGGAGAATGTATTTTAAACTTTAAATTTTTTTAATATTTATTTATTTTAGATTGTTGATATTGAACCTCGTTTTATAAATTCTGGTGGGTTGTCTACTGCTATGCCTTATTACGAAATTGTCATTTACGCGAATAAGGAGAGAATTCTCGGACAATGTAAATATATGTCGGCGGAAAATTTCAATTTTAGGAAAATTTCAATTTTTCCGGAAAATTTCAAATTTTCCGGAAAAATTCAAATTTTCCGACGGTTTAGGAAAATTTCAGTTATTAATAAAGTTGTCAGTTGAGTCTGGGCTAGTTTTATGTTTTTTGGTGTTGTTTGTGTTTTCTATGTTTGTTTTTGTTTTTTTCAAGGTTATTTATAAATTTCTTGATTTAGACAAGATACCATGGATAAGTTTGGATAAAGTTATGACACGAAAACAAACAACGTAAACCTATGGGGAGTCGGCGAGACGCTTGTGCAAAACCCCGCGCTTCGCGCGGGGTTTTGCGGCACGCGTCTCGCGGGAGTCAACGGTCGCTGGGTTCTACACTAATACCATAAACCTATTCCTTTTAACGATTTTCAGCATTGAATGCCAACCTAACCATTCAGTAGTAGCACAAAAAAACAACTAAAAACAAAATTAAGAAAAATAAACGAAAATATTTTAAAAAAAAGTCAAACAAACCAAAAAACAAAACATAAAACAAAAGAAAAACAAAAAAGAAAAACATACTCAAAAAACGAAAAACAAACGAAATAGTGTTAGAGAGACTATTAAATTAATTTAATAACTGAAATTTTCCTAAATCGTCGGAAAATTTGAATTTTTCCGGAAAATTTGAAATTTTCCGGAAAAATTGAAATTTTCCTAAAATTGAAATTTACCGCCGACATATACATTTTTAAATGTTTTTATTTTTTCTGACTTCAGCTGCTGGTGAACAGCCGTGGGTAGCACTTGATTTGGCTGCGCAGAATGCACTTCTAAGAATATGGAAAGTTCTTGATGAACCACGCGTTTTCCCCTTCAAATGTGAAAATGTTTATGAGTTGCGTTTTGAGAAGGCACAAAAAGCAAATCACAGTTTAATGGACATTGTTTCTGAGGAGTAAGTTGCCTTTATATTGCTAATTTTTTTGTTGAATGAACATAAATAAAAAGTTATTTTTTAATTTTTCTTTTTAGCACAGACGTTGGACTGTACTCTCCCGAGGAATTGGCTCAAGATCCATTAGATCCAGTAGATATGGCTCATTTCTACCAAAACAAAGTAAATCCAGAGCTAGGTCTTCCTCATAGGAAAAGATTGCGGCATATGTTCTCTTATGGCAGTATGATGCGACGTCCAAGACGTTCCATGGTTAAACCCCAACCACACAATATTTGATAAATTTTAAGTGTTTATTATATTTTTGTTTAATTGGTTACTTGATCAATTATTGCCAAAAAGTAATATAGAATTTTAAAATCTAATTGAACAAGTATTATTTTTCTGTTTTATTTTTGTTATTTAATAAATTTATTTTCTTGTTATAATTATTATTCTATACTAATTTTAATTTATATAATACATATTTTAATTATTTTTAAAGTTGTGTATTATATAATTTTTTCTAAAGATAAATGCCGCCGAAGAAAAGAAGTACAGAAAATGCAGATTCTGAGTCTGATGTGTTGCATAGTTCGGAAGGTCCATCTAGTGAAGCTGAACCGAAAGTACAACGCAAACGAGCAACCCCAAGGCAAGGACATGCAGCAATAGTTCTAGCAATTGATGTTGGCTCAACGTCTTCTATTAAGTCAATCCCTGATGAAACGGAATCTGACTTGCAAAGATCGCTTCAAATTGCTGATTGGATTATTTCTCGTAAGGTAATTTTAACATTTTTTTGAGTTTTGATGCTTCTGACTTAATTAAATTCGTGATGTGTATTTTTTCTATATTCGCTATTTTAAAATGAATTATTAAGCTCTTCACTGATTCCAAAGATCAGTTTTCCTTGGTGTTTTTTGGTCACGAATGCACAACTGATGATAACTACTCAAATGTTTACGTACATAATGCTGAATTTGAGCGTGCTCGCGTTGAATGGCTGCATGTATTCAAAAACGAGGTTCAAACAAATCCGAAATGCCCAGGCGATTGTTTGTCGTAGTATTTTAAATTTATATTTTGTTAATTTTTTAAAGATTTGGCTGCGCTTTTTGCTTCATTGGAACAATTGAAAATTCATGGAGAGGTTGGTAAGGATGGAATGACTGAAGCAACTGTTACAGTAATTAGTAACTTTGGGGGATTAAATGAAGATGATCAGGTTTATTAAATATATTTTACATTAAATATAAATATTCATTAAGGTTTTTGAAGTCTTAGATTCAGTTGTAGAGGCATTCAACACAGTTGGAGCTAAATTGCTTATCATGTATCAGTTACAGAATAAAATAACGATTTATTAAAAATTTAGTGGCCCAGACTTAAATAACTCTCCAATATCTAAATCCCAACAGCTCGGGGTTGAGTTTGTTCGTAGTTTGCTCCCGAAGATGGATGTGCTTTCTTACAATTTTCAGTGAGTGAAACATTTTTTATGACGAATCAGAGACCAAAAATAAAAAGATTTATTAAATTAAAATATTATTTTCAGGGAAAGCCTATCCAAACTGAAATTTTTCATTCCAAAATCGCTTACACCAAGAGGGCAGCCTTTCAATCTTGAATTGGGAAAAGATTTTTCAGTTCGTGTACAATTGTATGTTAAAAATCAAGAGGTTGTGTTACAAGAACGTTTTGACCCCGTTTCCTTCTCTTCTACTTCTACTGCTGATAGACTTGAACTGCCTCAAATATTAAAAAAGATTAGACGTTATGAAACGGTAGCAGATCATGAAACAAGTATTCCATTAGCAGCAATTGATTCCACTCCCGATATTTCGTTTACTAGTACAAGCACTATAAATAAAGCTATGAGTAGTATGCCTTCTGGTAAATTGGTGCAAAAAGAGGATATTGTTAGAGGTTAATTTTCTACATTTTTAAATTATTTATTCAGTTAACATTAAAAAAATTTTTAGGTTATCGTTATGGCTCTACAATTGTCACTTTTGACAAAGCAATACAGATGATGTCTGATGTTCCACGTGAAGGCAAGCAACTTCAGCTGATTCAATTTGCTAAAAAAGAAAATGTATTTTTAGAAAAAATTTAATTAAATTTAAAAAAATTTCAGATTCTTCCTCAATTTCTTGTTAGTAGTCCACGATACATTCTCCCACATAAAGATGGAAAAGGAAGTGTAGCTACACGAGAAGCTGATCTAGTAAATTTAAGTATTTTTATTTTTTTCACAATTATTTTTCAGAAATCGTTTAATACACTTTCTGCAATTGTAAATGCAATGTTAAAAAAGGGAGTTGTTGCTTTATGCCGTTATGCATATAATGTTGTGTCTAATCCGCGTCTATCCTGTCTTATTCCAAAAATTACAAAAAAGGAAAACTATCCGGTGAGGATTGTCACAATTTTTAGTTTTTAATTCAATTAAGATTCTTATCCATTATCTAATGCCATTTCGTGATGATTTCCGTTATTTTGACTTTCCTTTAATACTTTCAGAAGAAATTACAGGCAAATAAATCTAAATTGTTTTTTTAAAAGCAAATAATTTTTAGATTACCAAAAAGATTTAATAGACGAATATATTAATAATTTGATGCTTTGTGATTCTAATGGGTAAGGAAGTTAATTTTTCTAAATAAATCCAAATTTATCTTTTCAGTGGCAATGAGCTATTGAAAAAACGTAGTGTTCATGACCCTCGTATTCAACATCAGGTAAATATTTTGTTTTTTAATGTAGTTGCTAATTAAATATTTAAATGAATAATATTCAAGTGTATGACTTTACGTGAGAAGGCATTAAATCCAGGAAAGCCAATTGAACTTTCTTATGAAGATAAACGAGCATTGCTTCAAATGTTGGAGCCTCCAAAACATCTTTTAGAAAAATCAAAGTGAATAGCTTCATTTTCTAATTCTTAAATTTTAATTTTCTGTTTAGACATGTAATATCAACAATGAAAGGGGAATTCTCTCTACAAGTACAAACAAATAAATCTGTTTCTTTCCAAAATTCGGATGGAAACGTTGCTGCAACTACTGAAACTCAATTAGGAGTTTCCCAAACTTCTGGAGATAATGTTAACCGTCTTAAACCGATTTTAAATGCACTTATTGAGGAAAAGAAAAAATTGGAAAATGAGAGACAGAGAATACAATATGAAGAATTTGACAATTAATCTATATAATTTTACTTCTTACATAACATTTTAAAATTCCGGTCTCTTTAAAATTACTCAATTTTTTACTTTACAAATTCGCTATTTATTAAATATTATTTTGCTACTTAAATTGAAAATTTTTTTTTGCATTTTTTGTGAAAACATGTTTTGAATCATTTAAATTATCACCTTATTTGTTAGTTTTTTGAGTTATTAAAATATTAAAATAATATAGAATGTCTCCACCGAAGGATTTTAGTGCTAAATGTATTCCTCCAAGAGATTATCAGGTATTTATTCTACTTTTTTGTCTAATTTACTTTAAATTTAAGGTTGAATTGCTTGATCGTGCAAAAATTCAAAACACGATTATTTCGCTCGGTACTGGTAGTGGAAAAACATTTGTGGCGGTTCTTTTAATAAAGGAATATTCTCAGAGGTTGTTACATCAAAATGAAAAAGCTGTGTTTTTGGTTAATACTGGTTTGTAATTTACATTTTGTGGTTTTTAATAATTAGACTGTTTTAGTTGAACTTGTTGCCCAGCAAGCCGAGCACATTGAATTTCATTCAAGTTTGTCTGTCGCCCGTATTTCTGGTTCTACAATTAAAAGAAAATATGAGAGAAGAGAAGTTGAGAAAATTACTAGCAACAATCAGGCAAGTCATGTATTATTAAAGTCTAGTTTATCTTCTTGTTTTAAAGGTGATTGTAATTACAGCTCAAGTGTTTCTTGATTTAATCACGGGGTAATAAATTTTGAAAGAATTTTTTTTATATTATTTATAAACAGTTATTCGATTTCTCTTCTTTGGCTTTGTTGATTGTTGATGAATGCCATCATTGTTTGGGGGAACTGCATCCATATAGGCTGATTATGAATCATTACAAGAAACTGCAAGGTATTTGGATAATTTTTTTTATGGTTTTAAATTAATCTTTAAATAAAGGTCAACGACCACGCGTTTTGGGCCTTACAGCTTCAATTCTGAATAAAAAAGTGCCGTCCTCTCGCATTGAATGCACCGCTCAGCTGCTAGAACAAATAATGGATTCGCAGATAGAAACCTCCAGCAATTATACACAGGTATAATTTTTAAATAGTATTTTTTTAAGAATTAATTTTTATTAAAGATATGCAAATATGTTACAAAGCCAAAGCAATTTATTGTTTGCACAAAAGATGATTGTACAAATGAAAAATTTGTGGTTGATTTATTGGTACGTTTATGTTGTTCACTTTAATTTTTATCAATTCGATTAATAAATTAAATTAATTTATTCTTAATTTAAGGAGCGCCTTCGTTCATTTATTGAAAAGAATGAAGATTTTCATTCAGAATTTGAAGTTGATCCGCGTCGCAAAATTTTTGAAGTTTTTACAATAAAATTAAAATTTATTTATTTTTATAATTAAGACAATTTCCCGTTCATTTTCAACTCTTCAACAAGTTGGTAGCTGGGCAGCTCTAAAAGGGTTTATCCTTTGGCAAAAGAATTTACTTAAACATGTTGATGACCCGATAATTGGCAATAAACAAAAATGCATTTTAAGAATGGCTGAGACTGCTTTTAGAACTTGTTCAAAAGTTTTAAGTCACAAAGTATGTTAACATTAATTATTTAATATAACTTCTTTAACTTTAATCAAAAATCTTTTTTAAAGATAAATCCATTAAACAGCTATGACAAATTGGGTAACGTAAATAAATCATATATCAGTGACAGAGTGCGCAAATTGCTGGAAATATTAAAAAGTTATTCGCCTTCAAAACGTGAATTGTCTGGAATTAAAGATACGCTTTTTGGATTAGTTTTTGTGAAAGAACGATTTATTGCCTTTATGATTAATGTGAATTATTTTTTGCATTCTCACTATTATTCAATTTTTAGAATTTACTTCGTTTTCTTGTAAAACAAAATCCTGAAGAGTTTGGACATTTAAAAGTGGACTTTATTGTTGGACACACGGGAAATTCTGAGACAGGAGATGAAGATAGGCGTCTGGTAAATCGAAAACAGGAACGAACTCTTACACAATTCCGGAATGGGCAACTGAATTTATTGATAACAACGAATGTTTTAGAAGAAGGCTTGATCTTAGAAACTGCAATTTAGTCATTCGATTTGATCCACCAATGGATTTTCGGTCATTTATTCAGGTAGATTTTTAAATCCTTAAGCTAAATAAAATAATATTTTTAGTCTAGCGGTCGTGCTCGAAGAGAAAATAGTGCTTTCTATATACTTATTGAAGAGAAAAATTATTTGGATTTTATGATGGACTTAACTGGATATGCACAAGCAGAAGAGGTTTTTAAATTATTGTTTTGGATATTTTTTTAAATTTAAGTTTGTTCTGCGACGTTATCGTTCTGGCAATGATTTCACTTTGGAAGGAAATGATGAAACAAAAATGATACAACCACATCTGGATGATGCTGTTGCTCCTTATGTTGTTACAACTGAAAAAGGGACAGCTAAAGTCTCATTAAGTAATGCTATACAATTGGTGAACAGGTTTGTAATATTATAATTATGGTATAAGAAAAGACTAACTGAATATAAAATTTTCTTTGGAAACTTTCGAATAAATGTTTTACGATTCAAAAATAAATTTATTATTATTTTATTTTAATTTTTAAAGATACTGTGCAAAATTACCATCTGATATTTTTACTCGATTAGTGCCACGTTATACAATACAAACTTTATCAGAAAATGGGCAAACTTTGTATATTGCCGAATTATATCTCCCAATCAATTCACCAATAAAGGAACCGATAAAATCTAAACCGATGAATTCTAAAAGATTATCTTTAATGGCAGTTGCTTTGGAGGTTTTTTCAAATTTTTATTAAAAGTAATTAGATAATTGTTTTAAAAGGCTTGCAAACGATTACATCAAAGAAAAGAATTAAATGACAATCTTTTGCCTGCAGGAAAAGATATCTTGGATGATCTTTTAGGTGAAGTAGATGATGACGAGTATCTACCTCATTTACCTAGCAGAATGGGATCCTCAAAGAAAAAACGTCTCTACGATAGAAAAGTAAGCTAAAATGGAGATGAAAATAATATTGGAGTTGTGTTTGATATTAACCGTTTCTAGAACTTTTCGGCAAAAATTGTTTTTAGCTATATAGTTAATATGTATTTATAGATGTCGAAAACTCTTAATTCTACATTACCTTCGCAAGACAGTCAATGCATTCTTTACGTTATGGAAATGAAACTGGTTAAGCCCGTTACTGATGAAGGAAATCCAAAGAGGAGAAAAATTATTGATCCGTTCGAATCAAATTCGGCATTTGGATTTTTGTCTTCCAAGGAGCTCCCGAAGGTGGAGAACAATTATTCTTTTAAAATTTTATCAAAGAGCCCACATTTTTATATTTTTCATTAAAAGATTTTTTCAGGTTCCGGGATTTCCAGTTTTTCAACGGAATGGTGAAATGCTTGTGCAAATTCGTAAAGTAAAAAATCAACAATTTCGTCCCACTTTCGAACTTTTACAACTCATTTATCTCTTTCATCAACACATTTTTGAAGATATTTTGCGTGTTGCTCGTGGTGGTGTTGTTTTTGCACCTGGTCATTCTCCAATACCACTTTTAATCGTTCCTTTAAAAAAATGTATTATTTTAACTATTTTTATAATTTAATTGAATTTTAGTAAGCACTGCCGATTTGGACTATGAAATTGACAAAGATTACCTAAATTGGAATATCCGTGAATCTCCAACTACACCTTCAGATGAAATTAGAAGACAATTTTCTTTTGAAGAATCAAACTACTTAAATGCTGTTGTTTCGCCTTGGTATAAGAATATAGATATTTTATGGTATTTTTATATTTTCTTTTAGGTATCGTTCTGAAGATCAGTCTGCTTTTTATTACGTAGCTGAGGTAAAAATATTTTTTGCAAGTGAGATAAAATTTTGTTATTTAGATAATGACTGATCAATTTCCGTCTTCTTCATTTCCTGATGAAAAATTTACTTGTTTCAATCAATACTTTATGAGTAAATATCAATTGGAGATCTACAATCAAAAACAAAATTTACTTGATGTTGACCATACATCTGCTAGAATGAGTAAGAAAATATTAATTTGTTTAACATAGATCTGAAATGGCTTAAGGCAGTTTTTACTATGAACTTTTTTAGATCTTTTATTACCACGAGCAATTACTGGAAAATCAGCTACTCGTTCACTAGACCCATCTCAACGTCAAATTCTTGTTCCAGAATTGGTACATATACATCCTCTTTCTGCAACTCTTTGGTCAATTATTGTTACTCTCCCTACAATTCTTTATAGGTTTGAATTTTAATTCCAATTTTCAGTCAAAAAAACTAAATTTAAGACTTAATTCTTTACTGCTTGCTGATGAATTTCGTAGCAAAGTTCTTGAAGATGCTTTGAAAGTTAATTCACAAACACCCGACGATTTTGAATGGAGTCCTCTTCAATATGTCACTTTAAATGATGATCTGACACAAAAAAGTATAAAAAATTTAGATCAGTTGAGAAAAATGAACAAACAAGAGAAGGAAAATGAAGTACCAATGGAGCTTGATATTATTGATGAGAATGTGAATGAGACAGCAGCTACTGGAATGGTGGGTGAATTAAAAATTTTGAGATCAGTAATTGTAAAAAATTAAATAACAAAAAGTTTTAATTTAAGGAGATTTTTAAATTAGAATAATTAGGTAAACTTTCATAGCAATTAGCATATCCATTACCATTTTATAAACATGGTGAAATATGATAAGTAATAATTTATTTTATTATTACTCAGAATATAATTTGAAGTACCGAAAGTAGTTTTTCTCCAAATCATTCATTAAACTTGCATATTGATATGAGAATTGTTTGTCGATAGTCTGTAAAAGATAATTTTAATCGTTATTCAATTTGGATAACATTGGCAAAAAATATATATAATTGGTGAAATATAAGAAGTAATAATTTTCAATATCAGGAATTTTGTATATAATTATTTATTCTAGTTTTTTCTGAAATATTTTTATTTCTTTCAAATATTTACAGAATGATTTCGAAATCGGTGTTTGGGACCCCTCAGATGGCACACAAATGTCTAACAATGATAATACTTTGAATGAACCTTCCCCAGTAATTCACAATGCGCCTGTAAATGGATTAATCCCTGGGCGGAGGAATGGTCTTCGAGGAGTTATAGCTGCTAGAGACGAGGAGCTCTCTGAAATCATTGCTGTCGGGAATGATACAACACTTCATAATTATGGAGATATTTCTGATGATGATGATGTTGCAGCTGAATATGATAAATTTAAATTTTTGATGGACAATAAAATGACTAGTTTGTTTTTTTTGGATAGTAAATGAGAAAAAATAAAATTTTTTATTTAAGCAAGTGATATTGGTGATCTAGGTGAAATGGATGTTCGACCTGCTGGGTGGAATGACGATAGCAATGCCAATGTTATCCAAATTGAGAATGAAAGTCTTCCTTTGGTAATATAAACTTAACGATTTAAAAATTTATTTTACAGACAATATCGACAAATAATCCTCATATTAATATTGCAAGTTTAATGAATGATTTGGAGAAAAATTATGCTGCTTTTGGAACTTCAAGCCATATTTCCAATAATAATAAAACGAATACCTCGATCATTCCGAGTGCTACAGCTGTTGACAAAACGGTCTTGCAAAGAAAGGAGGTCCTCTTAACATTCTTATTAACAATGTAACATTTGTTTTAGCTTAATCTAGATTCGTTGAATAACATTGACCCTAATGATCAGTCAGTAAAAAGGCAAAATGAAGATATTTTACCTGAGGAAGTTTTTTGGGGAATGGATGAAGCTGAGATAGGAGAGAATATTAGCAGTGAAGGTGTTAATATTCCCTTTTGACAAATTCTGATTATTTTTATATTTAAGAAACGAATAAAATCATCCCAACAAAAAGTGCCGATTCTATTAGCCCTACACGTGATTTGAGAGATCTTGAAAAACAAGTGATAAAATATTATTTAAATATTAAAATAATTTTTATAATTCCAAACTATTTTTATACATATTTCTTAAATTTTATTTTAGAACTTTAAAATAATGGCACCTGAACTTAAATGGATGCCTTTTTCTTTTATGTGGAACTTACTTGATCAGAATCCCCATGGTGTTTCACCGGCTCTACTGCTTCAAGGTATATTGTTGAACTGTTCTTAAAATCATTTTTTCTTTTTAGCATTGACAACTTCAAGTGCTGCGGATGGAATAAATTTGGAAAGGTTAGAAACAATTGGAGATTCCTTTCTCAAAATGGCTGTCACCAACTATTTCTACTATAAACACACTGAACAACATGAAGGAAAGTTGAGCTATGCACGTTCTAAAGAAGTAATTTGGATAATAAATACAAAATTTTTGTATAAAATTTAGGTTTCGAATTCCCATCTTTTTTATCTTGGACGGCAACGAGGCATCCCTCTCCTAATAGAAACGCTGAAATTTGATCCACATGTTAACTGGCTTCCTCCTTGTTATGCTTCTACTTCAGAATTTCATGCTGTGAATCCTTTTGATTATACAGATTTAGATGAAGATCAATGTCAAGTGCCAATGGAGGGTGTTGGTACTACTGAAACTGTAGATCAACAGCAAAAGATTAATAAAGAAACAATAGCAACTGGATGGGGTACTCTTGACGATGATAAACAGAATTACAAACGTGAAAATGGAGTAGAAACTTTAACTTTTCCACAAGTATTTCTATTTCCATTTATCTAAAAAATATTATTTCTTTTGTAGCCAACAAAATCAGAAATTCCGGACTTACCTCCAATGCCATACAATATGCTTACTCAACAATGGATAAGTGACAAATCAATTGCTGATGCGGTAGAGGCATTAATTGGAGCACATTTAATTCAACTTGGACAATCAGCTACTCTCAAATTTATGAATTGGTTGGGAATTAAGGTAAATTTAAATTTATAACTTAAATTATCTAAAAATAATTTTTAGGTTTTAACTGATATTTCTTCATTGCCCTCACCACTTTTACGTTTCATTGACACACCTGAAGATGTAAATAAAAATTATTTTAATTTTTATTCTTTTTTAAAATATAGCCTAATCTTTCACTTAAACATCTTGCCCTTCTTTATGAGAAATTTGATTTTGCCACTGTTGAGAACAACATTGGTTATAAATTTGCAAATAAGGTCAGGCCTAATAGCAATATAAAAATTAAAATTATTTCTTTTCTATAGGCATATTTAGTCCAAGCATTTACTCACGCTTCATATTACAACAATCGAGTAACCGGTTGTTACCAAGTTTGTTAAAAGAAATTTTATCAAAAAAAAAAACAATTATTTTTTAGCGTTTGGAATTCCTTGGCGATGCTGTTTTGGATTATATGATAACTCGTTTTCTTTATGAACACAAGAAGCAATATAGTCCGGGTGTTCTTACTGATCTTCGGTTAATCTATTTAATTTAAATTAACATTTCAATTTTCAGCTCCGCTCTTGTCAATAATACAATTTTTGCTTCGCTCGCAGTTAAATATTCTTTTCACAAAGTTTTTTTGATTATAAGTTTTTTTCCAAATTTATATTTAGCATTTTGTTATGATTTGTCCTCCACTCTATCAAATGGTCGAAAAGTTTGTTAATTTCTGTAAACAAAAAGATTTTCTTCATTGCGCGAATTTTGACGATGAAGTAAAGTTTCTAAAAAAATTTTCCAATTTAAAATAATTTTTTAAAGATATTTATGTTAACTGAAGATGAAATTGATGAGGAAGACCTTTTAAGTGAAGAGGATGTAGAGGTACCTAAAGCGATGGGTGATATTTTCGAATCAATTGCTGGTGCTGTTTATTTGGATTGTGGAATGAATTTAGATATTGTTTGGCGTGTATTTTATAATTTAATGAGAGATGTTATACAAAAATGTTGTGAAAATCCGCCACAATCGCCAGTTCGAGAATTATTTGAGAGAAAGAATTGTCGAGCTAAATTCTCGTGAGTTTATATTTTTTAATCATTAATTGTTGTTATAAATTTAGAAAATTGGAACGAAAATTAGAAACAGGCAAAGTTAGAGTTACTGTAACGGTTAACGATAATCTCCAATTTACTGGGATGGGAAGGAGTTATCGAATTGCTAAATGTACAGCTGCTAAACGAGCTCTTCAACATTTAAGAAAATTAGATGCTGCAAAAACAGCAAAGAATAAATAAATTAAAATTAATAATTTTAGTCAATTTAAAATTAGAAAAAGTGCACTTCTGCGAAGCGGGATTTTTGTCATTTTATCACTTTTGTTTTGCTTTTAAATTTATTTTGCTTTTAATAAATTATTTATTACTTATTTTTTTGATATTTTAAATTTAAATTACTAGAATTTTAATTTTACAAATATATCTTAATTCTTTTATCTGCCATACATATATTTGTATTCTCAAAAATTAAAATATAAAATATTTAAATTTTATACATATCTATTACAATATAATTAAGCAGTGGAGAAATTATGAGTTTTTTAAAGCAAAGATTCAGAATTTATAAAAATTAAAAGTTTGTTAACAAATTAATTAAAAATTAAATTCTGAATATTTACTATTTTTATTAAGTTTAAATAAAATAAACAGCAAAAATAAAAATCGCAGTGATTGCGATGACTACCCGTACATTTAAAAATAAGCAGCGGGGTAATTATTATTAGGAAGCAGATTAATTTTAAAGATTTTTGTTAAGCAAATTTAACTAAAAAATTAATTTTTAAAAAATATTTAAGTGTAGTAGAGAGAGAAGATAATAACTCTTAAATTATTACTTTTAATAATTTCTATTGTTTCCTATAACTTTATAATTCTTTCATTTCTTGAAGGAGTGACTAATTCTTTAATCAGAAGAAAAATTAATTTTTCCGTTGTTTTAATACCCGTTTCCATATTTTTTGGAGAAGGCGAAAATAAAGTAGGTAATATGGAGAGAGAAGAAAATTTTTTTATAAGTATTCTGGCCCAAAGTAAGGAACATGAGTGTCTTTGTAGCCCTTTAATTATTAATTCATTTTAAATTTATTTTTAAAATTACCTTTAGCCAATAAGTGGTTTGTTTGCCTTTTCCTTTCATTTCTACTTCACCACGTAATTCTAATTGAAAATCTGGATCTTTAACAAGAATTTCTCTTGTATCAGAAGAAACGTGAATACGAAGAGCTTTAAAATAAAAGGAAATTATTTTTAAAGAAACAATTTTTATTTACGTAATCCATTGCTTTCCATTCTACTTGAAGTATTTACTGTATCCCCAAACAGACAATACCTAGGCATTTTAGATCCAACAACTCCGGCTACAACAGAACCTAAAAAAGAGGGGGAAAATTAATTTGTAATTTAATTATTTTTCTTGCCTGAATGAATCCCAATTCTTAATTTTAATTGTTCATTGGGTCTATGCCTTATTGTAAAATTTTTGACTTTATGTAATAAAGCAAGGGACATCTAAAAAATAATTTTAAAAAATTTTATTTTCAAAATTCTCTCTCTCTTTTACTTGTGCAATTTGAGAAGCATGATCATCTCTCCTTTCAGGCAACCCAGAAACAACCATATAAGCATCCCCAATAGTTTCAACTTTGTAAACTTTAAAGTTATCAACAACACTATCAAAAGCTAAGTAGAGATCATTTAAAAGGGCAACAACCTTTTTAAATTAAAAAGATTAGTTGTTAAAAATAAATTATTTGTTTTTACTTGCATAGGGGTAGATAAAGCAGAAAGTGCAGTAAAACCAACAATATCAGAAAAATAAATTGTTACACTGTCATAAGCTTCTGCTTGGACTGGATTACCACCAATTAACTTTAAAAATAATATTTTAAAATTATTTTTTTCTTTTCTTTTTTACTTGATCAGCAATGCTTGGAGGTAATAATTGATGTAAAAGTTCTTCAACTTTTTTCTTTTCCCCCAAATATTCTTGTGTTCGTTCTTCAACAAGACCTTCCAAGTTTGTGGCATATTGCTCCATACGTTTAAGTAAATTATCAACAAGATTAGAAGTTTCATTTTCTCTTTAGAAAAAAAAATTTTGTTTAAAAAAATAAAAAAAAATTATAGTAGTAGTACTTATTAAGTGTATGAACAACTTTTCTAATTGTTGAAAAATCAGGCCTTCCACTTGGACTTTCACTCCAACAAGCCATCATTAATTCAATTAATTTTTTAACTGTTTCTGGTGTGTCATCAACAGGTTGGCAGTCTTGGAGAATTAATGGCCTAAAAAGTTCAATGTCGCTGTGAGGGTCTAATGGCTGGACAAGTTTGGAAAGAATTTCTGAAAGAAATTATTATTTTTATTTATTTCAAAAAAATATTTTAAATACCTTTAGGGCTAACACACTCATCTTCACCCAAATAAAAAGCCCCTTTTCTAAATAACATTTCATGTAAAATAAGAGCAAAACTATAAACATCTCCTTTTTGTGTTCCTTGGACGGGGGAATTTGGATCTCTTAATAATTCTGGGGCTGTCCAAAGTTTTTCTAAAAAAATATTTTTATTTTTATTTTGAAAATTAAAAATACTTCTATAATAAGCATGTGATTCTAATTCATCTTCTTTAATATCTTCCATTGCGTGTAATTCAGCCAAACCAAAATCTGTTACTTTAAGTACAAATCTACTGTCTACTACACAATTTGAGGTTTTTAATCTTCCATGAGTTCTAATAAGGCTTCCATGTAAATAATGCATTCCTTTCACTAAGTCATGTAATAATGAATATTTCATCATTTTATCAAGTTTAATCTTTTAATTAAATAAATTAATTAATTTTTAAATTATATCATGAAAATAATGTCTCCATCTCGAGGTATTTGTATTACTCTCAAAATTACTCTCGAAAAAATTTTGAAAATTTTTTATCGAAATTTGGAATAAACCCAAATAATGTCTAAACATTTTTCGTTTTTATTTTTTATAATTGAGAAGGGAGACAATACCGCATTTTCTGGATTTAGTCCCCTGAGGAATTAATATGTGGATGGGGAATTATTCGAGGGAGAGGAATTATTCGAGAAAATACGCTAACTTAATAACAAAAATAATTTTATTTATTTCACTACCTTTTCATTTTCCAAAATATCTTCCAAAGACCCTTTAGGGCAATATTCGGTAACAATACAATAATTAGGAGCATCAACACAAGCACCACAAAATCTTGTTAAATGGTCATGTTGCAAATCTTTCATTTCTTTTAATTGAATTAATAAAGAACGAGGTAATTCTAATTTTGGATATTTTTTTGGATCCAAATTAAGCATTTTAATAGCAACCATTGTTCCTTTATACATTGCTGTTTTTGTAAATATTTGGGCATTATTTTGTAATTGAATTGTTTCTACTGAACCTCCGCTCTTTTGAAAGAAAAAAATTTATTTTTATTTTATTGAGATAATTAATAGAGAATTTAGATAGTTGGGTATTACTTTGAAGAATTTAGTGTATAAATTTAAGTAATAATTTAAATTAAATAATCCCGTCCCGATTCGTTTTATTTTATTGTCCATTTAATTTCAAAAAAAAATTTACTGGTTCTAGCTGGCTATTAGAGATCGAGATTTTTGAAAAGCCTGGACCTGTTCCTGGGATTTATTGACCTGGGCCGGGTCCTGGGCCTGTAGTCCAGTAAAACCCCAAGAACGTCAAAAAATGCCTGGGCCTGGACTCTGGATACAGGAAAAACCCAGGTCTTGGTCCAGCTCTCTCTCTACTGGCTATTACTATAGAATATTTAATTTAAATATTTTAAATTATTTAGAATAAAAACTGAAATATTATTTTAATTGCTTTTCGAACTTTTAATTGTTCTTAGGGCTGAAAAGATAAAAGGTTTACAATAATTCTATTCTTTATTATCCCCAACCAAAAAATATTTATTTTAAAAATTACTTTAATGCTGTAAACACTAAAAGAAAATTTTCTGTTGTTTTTATTAGTAGAGCAAGAAACAATAGATTTTTTGCCAACACCAGAATTACTTCCTAATTCCAAATCTTCTTCTTCTAACCCTCCTCCTCCCCCGTCTCTTCCTCCTCCTCCCACTTCTCTTCCACAATCTTCTAATCCCCCTCCTTCCCCTCCTTCATCAATCCATTGATTCGATTTCTTTTTTCTTTTTTTATCATTATTATTTGAATTATTTCCAATAGAAAATGTTGGGGAAGAATAAGCATTTCTTTCGATTATATGATTTGTTGATATTTGCTGTTGTGGTTGTTGGTCTGGATTTGTTATTGTTGATGTTGTTGTTTTATTACCTGCAGATTGGGAATGTGATTGTTTATGTTGTTGTTGATTGTCTGTTGGGGAAGATTTCTTTCGAGTAAATATACTGATTTTTCTGTCAAGCATTGCTGAAATTTTACGTGTTGCACCAGAGGAAGAACTTCTCTTAAATAAATTTTATTTAAATAAATTAGGTAGGTATATTTAGTTTTATGGTTAGTCTGGCTAGCTTAATAAGTTCGAATTTCGTTGTTCGAAGATAAGAGAGATTTAAAAATAATTATTTTTTTCTCTTATTTTTAAATTAAAAATTACTTTATCAGATCCAATAGACACTCGACTATTTGAACGTAATAACAAAACTTCCGATTGTTCCAACAAATCAGATTTTAATTTTCCTCTATTATTTCCACTACTACAACCAACAACATTTAACCTCTTCTTTCTTTTATCTTTCCCAATATCTTCTCCATCCAACTCCTCCCATTTAATTTTCCAAGTCATTTTAGCCAATTCTGCTTCAGCACGATAACGCCTTTTTAAATTAAAAAAATAATTTTTAAAAATTTATTTTTTACCTATAAAATATTGCAAAACCAATTAATAAAATAACAACAACAATTCCCAAACACATTAATGCATAAACATGTGCTGGATAACCTTCGGGGCATTTTGAACGATCCCAACCACAAACACTTAAATTAATTAATGTATTTCCTCGATAATAATTTTTTTATTTTATTTTGACTTGTATTTTTGTAATAATAATTATTCAGGATAAATATTCGAGAAAATATTTTTTCAATATTTTTTTAAGAAAACTAACGGAAAATCTTTTGGAGGTTTTCCTCCAACCCAATGAAAATCTGTTATTTCTTTTAATTCATTTGAAGCACCAGAATAATAGGCAACTTCCTTTAAAAAAATTAAAATTAATCTTAAAATAGTAAAGATTGTCATTAGGTGCGGATATAATCATTTGCCGTTTATTATTGTTATTTTATTGATAAAAAATTAATTATGTCCGCACCGAAAATTATTTTTCTAATAAATTATTCTTTTTTTAATTCACTAATTTAAAACAAAAATTTCTACCACCTAAAAACCCTCAAAGATTTACCTATATTTTTAATTAAATAAAATTTTTACCACAAATTTGCCTTGTTCTGGATCTAAATCAAGAAGTGAATAATCAGAATAACGATCTCCATTATGGTCAATACTTACATTCCCGGTTATACCTAAAAAATAAAATGAAATTTTAAAACCCCCAATCTATTCATTTACCAACAAATGTTCTATTCCACATTTTACTCGTTATATTTCTTCCATTTCTTGGATCTAAACCTTCAGAAAGTGTTTCATTTAAGGCAATAGCATAAAGTAAAACAGCATCATAAAAGGCACTTATAAAATTATTCATCTAAATTTAATAATTATTTTTTAATTTTAATTTAATTAAATTCACTTCATATTCCTTCCCAGTATTTTTTGAATAATTATATTTCTTTTCAGCCCTTTCTTTAACTCGAGCTTCAAAATTTTTATATTCTTCTAAATCTGATCTTCTTAGAGAAATTGTTTTTAATGCTCTATATGCTTGTTTTGCTTTTTCATTTTCCTCGGCTGAACCTGATGAATCGTTTTGACGAAGCCAGGGCTTTTCGGCATGTGAACTATTTAATAAATAGAAATACACTGCTCCACATAATTATAAGTCCACCCCTTTTTTCGGGATTTTTTGACTTCCAGTGATCCAAATTTTCTGAAAATTTAGAAACACACCTTTTAGTGAATAACTAACAAGATGTGAATCGATTTTTGGCTGATTTTTTATTTTAAAAATTTTTAGACCAAAATTTGCAATTTCGGCCTCCACAAAATTATAAGTCCACTTTTCAAAAAAGATATTTCCAAGTTTAGGAAAAATCTACAAAAATTATAGCAAAGATACATAAATAATGATATTATGAAAAAATAAAAAAGAACTAGACCCATATCTTTACCCGGAGCCGAGATCATGAGACCTCAAAAATCAACGTAAACCGTGGGTAAGGGTCTTTAAAAATTTTTTTCGACCCCTTATCGATTATTTTCAATTTTGATTATGGGCTCAATCGAAAGCCCTTGAAATTTGCTACAAGATAGCATTAATGATATTTTATAGAAAATTCGATTAGAAAGATACGGGCCGTTAATCTTCTGATGCAGCAAAAATCGTCTAAATGCCCCATAAAATGCCCTCTAATGACACTTAGAAAGTTTACCGTCTTGTGTCTCTCTATGGAATTTTTCTGAGAAATATGACTATTGCTATCTTGTAGCAAATTTCAAGGGCTTTCGATTGAGCCCAAAATCAAAATTGAAAATAATCGATAAGGGGTCGAAAATTTTTTTTAAAGACCCTTACCCCCGGTTTACGTTGATTTTTGAGGTCTCATGATCTCGGCTCCGGGTAAAGATATAGGTCTAGTTCTTTTTTATTTTTTCATAATATCATTATGTATCTTTGCTATAATTTTTGTAGATTTTTCCTAAACTTGGAAATATCTTTTTTGAAAAGTGGACTTATAATTTTGTGGAGGCCGAAATTGCAAATTTTGGTCTAAAAATTTTTAAAATAAAAAATCAGCCAAAAATCGATTCACATCTTGTTAGTTATTCACTAAAAGGTGTGTTTCTAAATTTTCAGAAAATTTGGATCACTGGAAGTCAAAAAATCCCGAAAAAAGGGGTGGACTTATAATTATGTGGAGCAGTTTATGTATATTTTTGAATTTTTGAATTAATTTTCTTTCAATGTTTCCAATATATATACCAATGTTGCCCGGGTACAAAAAATCCTCGGGTACGGGTTTACCGTATCGGCTTGGAGCGTTTTCATTTCGGCTCACGGGTTTCGTGTTGGATAATTTTCTTTTCGAGTATCAGATTTCGGGCGTAACCCTGATATCTACATAATTATACTTAAAGAAATTTTTAATTTAATTTCTATCCAAGATAAAATTCTTTTGAGATTTGAGGACTAACAAATAAATGAAAGAATTGATTGTTTTAACAAAAATAAGTAAATCAAAAATATTTACCCAGTAGAGACATCAATGTTTATAAACACATATTCTCCCTATAATAATTTAAAAAAATATTTAAATATTTATTAAAATAAAAATACAGAAGTAGCCATTCCAAGTTCATAAGCAGCCAACATAATTTCACGAACAGTATCAGGACTTGCACACAAAATGATAACTACAAAAATAATTTTAAATTAAAAATTAAAAAGAAAATAATTTAAAAAAGACAAAACAAGAACAACAACAAAATAATTAAACATAAAATAAATAAAAAATACAATTAAACAAAAAAATAAAAAGAATATCTTCCAAATCCCATTTATTTTCCCAATTGAAAAAAAAATATTAGAAAGATAAAATAATTAAAAAATAAAATTTAAAAAAATAAAATAATTAAAAAATATATAAATTATTTCCCCAAAAATAAATTATAGTTAAATACACATTTAAGTATTTATTATTTCCCTTACTATTAGAAAGAAGAGAAGATTTCTTCAATAAATCTTTAAAAATATTTTTATTTGTTGTTTGTTGTGAAAACATTTCAACAGTCCAATTACAACATTTTGACTGCCCAATTAAATTTTTAATAGCATTTAGGGCAAAATAACATTCTGAACGGCCCTGACTTGAACCATGAACTGCTTGATCGTTAAAAAAGAAATGGAAACGTCGAAAGCCTAATTCAATGAATAGACGATATCCCATTTGTCCAAGTGTTCGATACGTGCCCATTAGACGTATAAGTAATGGAAATGACTGTCGATCGCCTAATTCGTCCACCAAGGCCGAAAATTTAATTTTATTGAATTTAAATAAAAATATTGGAAGGTGTTTTAATTTTGAGAATTTTTTAATGAAATTCAAAAAAGGGTTGAAATATCATCAAAAAATATATTTTTTTAAATAAAAACCGTGGTAGTAAAAACAGGTACTCCTCCAATCCCCCAAAATTGTGACATTCTCGCAACCGGGGCCAAAGCAAAAACATATGCCATACCCATTACAGCATCTACACTTTTATTACAATAATGATTAACTATTTTTTGAGGGCCAATAGCATCACTTAATTGAGTATCTTCATAAGCGATAAGTAAAGAATTTGGTGGAAGAATCTTTAGAGAAAAGGATATTTTTTGTCTTTCTCTCATTTTCCGTTTTTTAAATAACCTTAAATTTTGTAATAATATCCTCAATTGCAACATCAAAAACTGGTTGAGCTTTAGCAATACTTAATTTATATGGATTACGTAAAGGATTATCATCAGCATCTGTAGGTAAACCAACAACTATATTTAATGGAAAACGAGTATATTGAGGTACTAAAGAAGAGGAGGAAGAGGAGAAAGAAGAGAAGATTAAAGGATGTCTCCTTTGATGATGTTGTTTTTGAATTTTTGGTTGTTGATTAATTGGAGGGAGAAGATTAAATGATTGGGAAGGATTATTATTAATATATTTTTGTTGGCTTGTAGAAGATGAAATGAAGATAAAAAGAAGACAAATAAAAAATGAAAGAAAATAAATATTTAAATTGTAATTATTATAATTGTTTTTGTTGTATTGTTGCATATTTAAAGTTGTTACAGAATTTCTTATACAAGTAGATAACATCAAAGAATTTTTGAATAAAAATCCTTCCTCGTTGTTTTAAAATAAAGGTTGAAGTGTTCAATACCTTCCTCTTTATTTTATTTTTTTCTGCGCTTTTAACCCGTCAATTCAGGAACTTGGCAAAAAAGTAGAAGAAAGAAGGAAGAAGAATAATATTAGACACGCTGTCACTCAATATTTGCCAGGTTGAATTAAATAAAAAAAAAGAAGTTTTTTAAGCCAAAAGTCAAAGTAAAGTCGATTTTAGAATTGGCAACAAAAGCAGAAAACATTAAAGTCGCGCCCATTGAAGAGGTATTAGCACAAGAAAAGCCATTCATTCATTATTTAAAATATGTAGTTGATTGAAAGATTTAAACAAAAAAAAGTTAGCTTATTTTCAAGTAGACAAACATTTATTTATTCTTCTTCTTTTTATTTATACAAGAGAACGTTGTTGATCAGTAGACTTGAACACATACTTGCGCAGTGATAAATTGAGAGTAAAATTGGGGGAAGTTGGAAGAGAATTGAGGAAAGATTTTTTAGTACAAACAAATATATTATAATAATTTTCTTCCACTCAAAATTAGCAGAAAAAATGCTGAAAGTAGGGAGGATAGTAAAAATATTATTTTAGGTGTTAAGGAATCTTTTCCTCATTTAATAATTTTCTGTTGTCCCAATAAAAAGTTGTTAATTTTTAAAAATAAAAATGAATATACTTCTTTAAATTTTTAAAAAGTTGGAATGAAAAAAAGAAGTTGAAATGCTGCTAATAATCATATTTTGTTTGTTTAGAAGGGGGGATTACATAGTTTGTTATTTTCCCCGTTCATTCTCTCATTTAAAAATCAAAAAAAGGCAAATGTGAATGGCCATCATCCGGTTGGTTAGAAAGGAAGGCATTTTTCTCCACACGTAGAGTTGTTCTACATTTTTTTATATTTTGCCTAAAATTAGACTAAAAAGGCAGAAAAATAGAGGGGAAAGGAAGTAAGGGAAGAAAAGATGTTTTATTTTGCCAAAGACAAAAATTTGTGTGCAAAAAAACATGGAAAATGTCCAAGAAAAGCTTCTTCTTTTACTCGTAAATTTTGCCTTTAATGCCCTAAATTGTTTGACAAGAATATATTTTACTATATATCCTCTTCTTATTTTCCCTCTTTCATCACCCTCTTCAACTGCCCTATGGCTTTTGCTTTTGCGCTTTTTTTGAAAATTTTGTTAGTCTTTTTAAAAAGATTTTTTTGCCTAGTTTTTTCTCTTTCTTTTCTATTTAGTCCTTGAATAAATGAAAGGAAAGGAAAGAATTTATTTTTGCTTGTTTGCTTTTTAAAAAAACATTAAGACGAGAAAATAGAAGAAAAAAGAGGTTAACGGATTGATGTCGCGGAAACTGACTGAATGAACGTGTCTCAAATAGGGATTTAAATTTCTTTTTTTGCAGCAATTTAAAAAAAATATTTTTTAAAGTTTTTAGTAAAAAAAATAAAATATTGGAATAAAAAATATTAAAAAATAAGTACAAGTAAAATAAACAAATTAAAAAAACCTTCAAACATCTAAAAATATAAAATAAATTTTAAAAAAATAGAAAACTTATTTATTTACATACATATTTAATAATTTTTTTAATTAAAAAAGTAAAAAAAAATATTTTATTTCCCTTGAAATTAAAAATAATAAAAAAATATATTTCATGTTAAATTTGTCAGTAAATTGATGAGAGACGGAAAAATTAATGAAGTAAAAATAAAATAAAAATAAAAAATGTTTTAAATTGGGAGGGAAAAACAAAAAATATTAATTTAAAAATAAAACAATCAACTTAATTATTATTTTTAAATTAAATAAATTTAAATTAAAAATTAACAAAACAAACCGTTAGCTTGTAAAGATGCCAATTTAACCCATTCACTAACTTCTTCTTTACTTCTCGTTAATTCTTCATCAAAAGCAACATGGGGAGTTTGTGTTTTCCACGTTTCCATAAAAAAATCATTATTTTCTTGAAAATAAGATTTAATTGCGTGTGAAGCAGACGTGGGCGAAACGTTTCGTTTCGTTTCGTTGTTTCGTATGTTTCGTATGATTTTTACTGTTTCGTCTCGTTTCGTTACGAAACACTTTTAAATTTGTTTCGTTTCGTTTCGTTACGAAACACCTGTGATTTTTCAACGAAACGAAACAATTTTTTAAGCCTAAACTAAGGCCAAAATCTATAAAATTTACCATCTTTTATTGAAAATTTAAAAAATTTTCGCCTGCGGCGCTGAAAAAAAAAGAATTTCGGCTTCTTGGCTTTCCCAAATTGTCAAAATTTTCGCCTGCGGCGCTGAAAAAGGAAGATAGCAATTACTTATATACTACAAATCCGTTTATACTCCACTCCCTAATCCACATATACATATTACTTAATCGACGACAAATTCTATTACCGGACTCGCATCATAATTTAAAAATTGCGGATTGCGAGTTGCGGAAATACTGGAACCGGAACTTCCGGCGAAGCACTAGCTTATATCGCCTTCCTCTCGAAATGGAGATATGGAGACAATTTGGGTAGGCAATGGAGCAAGATGGTGAATTTTTTGGCCTACGGCCTTTCAAAATTTTAAAATTTTTCGTCTGCGGCGCTTAAAATAAAATTTTACTTGAAAAATATTCAATTTTATTTAAAAAAAAGCGTCGCCAAAAATTTGGCTTCGAAAATGATTGACCCCCCCCCTTCCCCGAAAATTTTCCTTGCTACGGGCCTGGCTTATGGGACACAATTGTTGTAAATAAACCAATAACTAAATCATTTATAAGTCATAGTCGACTAATAACGTATTTGAGGTCGAATAATTTCGAAATAAATGCAGTTTTGAAAATTTTTTGAATATTAAAATGTTTCGTTTTGTTTCGTTTCGTTTCGTAAGATTTTGGTTGTTTCGTTTCGTTTCGTTAACGAAACGATTTTTAAAAAATTTTGTTTCGTTTCGTTTCGTCAGAAAAAAATTTTGAGTTTCGCCCAGGTCTGGTGTGAAGAAAAATAACAAGAAGAAGAGGGGGATTCATCTGGTGCTGATGAATATCCTCCAGTTTCTCCTATTTTTGCTCTATTTGTACTTGGAGGAGGTTTATTTAAAGCTCTTCTTTTATCGTGATACATAAAAACTAAATTTTGATAATTTAAAGGGAAAAATAAATTTTTTTGTTGTTTTTTTCTTTGTCTTTTTTGTTGTTGTAATTCAAAATTTTGATCTTGTAAAGCAATAAATTTATAAGCAGCCTCAGCCATTTGTGTATATGAACCTCTCATACGAGTTACATAAGGATATGATTTTTTAGATCCAATTATTGTTGTCAATCCTGTTGTTGTTAAGACTGGGACTCCTTCCCCAAAGCCCGCAGAGATTTTTGAAACTGTTGCAAGTGAATAAGCATCGGCAAAACCAAAAATTGCATCGAGACGTTTATTACAATAAGCCTAATTTTTGGATATAATTTTTTTGGAGATTTTTTTGGAGATTTTATCTCATACAAGGATCGGTATTCTTTGGATAACTCTTGGTTACTCTTTGGTTAATGGATTTACATATTTTTTTGGATAAAAGGTAATGAGGTATGAGACAATTGAAAAGGTAACCTCGATCCTCTCCTCCTCTTAAATTATTATTCAACTACTATTATGTACCTGTACAACACCAGTTGCACTAACTCTTTCAGCAAGTAAAGTATCCTCCCAATATCTAGAATCATGATAAGTTATATTAATCCAATTTGGAGGCATTGTCCCATATTTAATAACATTCTCTATGGCGATATCTATTATTGGGCGAACTTTTGGAATTGTTAAACCAAATTTGTCATTATTAGACTCTTTTTCAGGCAAAATTAATAAAACATTAAAAGGCAATTGTTCGCTAATTTTGTTGTTGATTAAATAACGTTTAATTAAAAATCTTCTATCCAAAGTTATGGCATTTGAAAAATTTAAAAGAAAAATTAAAATAAATAAAAATGTTGTTGCTAAAGAAGAAGGCCTTCCTTTACCATTTTTTGGTAAGAAAAATATTTTTTTTCTTTTTTCTTTTGATGTTTCTAATTTTTGTGGGCAATATTTAATATTATTTTTAATTATTAAATTTTCTTCTTTATTTTTTAAAAAATTATTTTTTAAATTTATTCTTCTTCTCTTCTTATTTTGAATTAAATAATTAAATTTTGAATTATTTAAACAGCTACACGAGGCCACAGCCTCCCCCGTTGCATTCAAATTGGTCGGCACGGTTGGCGATGATAATTTTATTTTTTAGGTAATTTTGGTAAGAAAATATTTTTAAAGGTTATTAGACTTTTTTGTCCTTTTGGACAATTAAAATAAAACTAGAAATTAAAAATAATTATTTTTATAAATTAAAAAATATATGTATAAAAGATAAGGAAGAGTTAAAAAGAAATAATAAAGCTAAATCTAAAATTAGGCTTCTTCTTCCATGCTTTTTACCTATACAATGATTAATTGGTTAACAAATGATAGAGACGTAAAAGATAAAAAAAATCCAAGACCGAAAAAACACAAGAAAAGTCTTGAGTCTCAAGACAAAGTGTCTTCGACCTCAATAATAAATGATCGGTACTATCGCATTATCTCCCCCGCAAAGTCCGCAAATATTTGTATCCTATTGATAAAAAAATAAATTCCAGATTTCAGGAATCGGGGCAATAGGATCACAGGAAACATACAAACATAAAATTGACGAATAAATGTCAAAATGATTAGGTTCAACTTTTTTATATTGTTCGAATTTTTATTTGATTATTTTTAAATTAAATAGCAAATACAAGGCAAATTTAACAGATATTTAACGGTAATTGCCACATAATCATTTACATATAAATATTAAAAAATATCAAAAAAATTAAAAATTAATTAATTAATTTTAATTTAAGAAATAAAATAATTTTAAATTTTATTTCCTCATTAAAATAAACTGATAAAAAGACATTGTTCATTATAAAAGTAAAGGAAACAGTTAATTTATTTTTTTTTAATTATTAAATAATTTTTTTTCGATTTTTAGGGGACTTTGCACATTAAAAAGATAAAAAAAGGAATTTAAAAGCACGTAAATTGTGAATAGAAAGTTAAAGAAGAATAAAAATATTTATTTATTTTTTATTGCAAAAATGCAAAAAAAGTAAAGAGAGGTGAAGAATGAAAAATAAAAATTGTTGTAAAGAAATAAAAAAAAGTTTTATTTTAAAATAAATACTTAAAATATCCCTCAAGGGGAGAAAATCCAAAGATGAAATAATTTTTGTGTTGAATGAACGCCTGTTTTAGAGAGAGGGCTTTTTTTGAAAGAATTTAAAGAAATTAGCAAAAATAAATAAATAAAATGTAAAGAAATATTTAAAAGAAATAATCTTTTTAGCTATTAAATTTTAAAAGACGTCAAAAAAAGTTTGTTTAAATTTAAATAAAATTTAGAAAAAAATTCTAATAAAGATCAATTTTCAATAATTTTGCAAATTTTAAAGTTTTTAAAAGTAAAAAGGATATATTCTTTTTTTAAATATTAAAAAGAGGAAAGGGGGGGGGGGATATTGGAAAATGACAAAATAAAAGGGAAAAAATAAAAAAAGTTTTTTTAAATAAAAATTGAAATGACTGACAATTGTGTTGATGAATGAATGAATGAATATATTTATTTTTTTAGAAAGGGAAACAGCTGGAAAGGGAAGAAGAAATAAAAAAAAGTTTAAAACAAATGACTAAAAAATTTAAAGTTCTTTTATCTGATAAGGGAATTAATCGATTTGGAAATTTTTTTGTTTTAAATTTAAAAAAAAAATTATTTAGAGGGAAATGTGTATTTTACAAAAATTAATTGAAAATAAAAAAATCAAGGGAGAGAGAATATTTTTGGTAAAGGTTTATAATTATTTTTTTAATTATTATTTCTTCTTTAAAGATAATAATATCCAAGTATTACTTTCATTTTTGTGGCTAAAATGCAATAAAAAGGGAAGAAGCGTGCCAAATGTCCCTAAAGCATTTTTTGAAAAAAACGAAAGAAAAAAAGGTTGCAGGAAAGAGGAAAGAAAGGCTTTAAGCATTCATTTAAATATATATTTTTCTACATATGTATGCTTTTAAAAGAGTCAATACAAATAAAAATATATTTGAAAAATAGATAATTAAAGATTAATTTATTTTAAAAGAATTTGTTCAAGAAGAACAGAAAAACAAAAATTAGAAATTAATTTGTTAAAAATATAGGTAATTAATTAATTAACTTATTTTTCTTTAAATTTTAGTATAAACAAACAATTATTTAAAATATCTAAATTTATTGGCACAAAAGTAAATATTAAGATTTTCAAAAAGAAATACTGTATTTTCTCGATTAATTCCTCTGGGGAATTAATAATTCAACCCATACGTGGGATGGGGAATTATTCGAGTTTTGGCATTTGAACGTGCAGTAGGGTATTTGGGGGTGGGGAATTATTGGTTTAACCCAATTCTAGCATGGGGAATTAATCGAGAAAATACGGTATTACAGAATTTCTTTTAATTTTTATAAAAATAGGCAAAATAATTTTTTAAAACAGAAAATATTTTAGTTAAAATATTTTTAAGAAATGAATTTATTCTTCCAATTTATTTAAATAAAAATATATACCTTCCTTTCTATTTGCCTTATTTGCATTTTAATTTAAAAAATAAAGCCACCCAAAGCTGGCTGGCTTTAATTCTTTTTTTTCTTTTTTTATAAGGGCCCCTAGTACCTCTACTTACCTAACTAGCTTTGCAAATATATAAAGCCTTTTTCTCAGCCAATTTTTTGTTGGTTATTTTCTTGGATTTGCATTTTTTCTTAAATAAACATCCAAAAAAGAGAAAAAGATAATTAGAAACGGCTGCCAAGTAAGGAGGGATTTTTTAAAAAATATTGGGAGAAAGAAAATAAATAAATGCCAAGTTAATAAAAAAAGACGACAATTCCAGATATAAATAAAAAAAGAAGAATTAATGTAAAAAAGGCAATTTTAATTATTTTTAATGTAATCAGTGCCCAAAGGGATGCTTTAGGGGAAGTAAATAAATTTTTAAGGAAAGAGGAGAGAAAAAATATTTTTTTGAGGAAAAATGGATATTTTATTAAAAAGAATTATTTTGAAGTTATTAATAGACATTGTTAATAAATTATTTAAATAGAACCAGAATTTTTAAAATAATCTTTAAAAGAATAGAATTTAGTAAGAAAACTTGTATATTATGTACAATAAATCAAAATTATCAGCTGGAATTTTTAAAAAGAAGAAAGTCCTCCCCACAAATTTTTTTTCTCTGAAAAATAAATTTTTAAATTAAGAGAAAATTTCTTAAAAAAATAAGGGGGGCTGACAGCAATTCTGATTTAAATTCAAAAAAAGAAATTTAAAAGCAAAATTTAAGAAATAAATGGAAGAGAAGAAATACAAAAATATATTTATCCCTAGAGATCTACAAAGGATTGAAATTGGAAAAATAAAAACATAAAAAAATTTATTTTAAATTTTTTGGCTAAAATTAGATTAAATTAGAAAAATAAAAGTGTTGTTATGTAAATATTTTGACAAAATAAATAAAAACAAAATTAAATGAATTAAATTAAAATAATTAATTAATATGTTATGATTCTAGAAAAATATCAGGAGTTTAAAGTGAATGATAATTATCCAAAAAAGGAAAGTACTGATGACAAAAAAAGATAAAAATAGAAGGAATTAATATTTTTATATAAAAATAGTTAAAAAAATTCAAGTCTAAAAATAATTAATTGGATGAAGAGGAGGAAGAAGGGGAAATGTTTGGAAATAAAATTAAAGAGAAGAGAATTCAAAAACGTTAAGTAATTCTTTAAGTGTAGAAAATAAATGAGCGAGAATTGGTCGAATATATAAACAAATATAAATAATAAAAGTGAATTAATTCAAGAAAAAAAGGATTGTAGAAAGAAAATTGAGTAGATTAACAATCTTTTAATTAACAGAATTGTAGATAGTCTTTTATTAAATAATCTTATTTTGACAAAATATTTAAATGTTTTTTTAAATTTTATTTTGACAATAATATTTAAAATAATTTAAACAAAATAATTATTTCAAATTAATTTTGATTGGAAAAAATAATTAAAAAAAATTAATTAATTAATTGCAGTTTTAGCACTAACGATAGATTAATGGCGGCAGCTTTGTTTAATATTCACAACCAAAAATAATCGATGACTGGGCCAAATTAAATAACAAATTGGAAAGTAGGGTGGGGGTTTTGTTTAAAATTAATTTAGTTAAAAGAAAATAATAAAATTTTGTATAAAAAAAGTAATAAAAAATTATTTATTAGAAAATGCATCAACAACAACAAAAAAAGTAAATATTTGTTATACTTTCTTATTTTTTTGTCCAAATTTAGGCAAAAAGGGTTGGGGGTTGTTTTGCCATAAAAATATGGCAAGGCACTTTTAAGGCACTTAAATATTGCTTAAACATCCAAAAACAATTTTCTATTGCCTTAAAGTTTTTGGGCTTTAAATCTAGACATTTTTACTTTTAAATATTTCGCTTATCGGTTGTTGCCCAATTTTTTCTTTTCTTGGTATTGAGAGTCGATGAAATAGCCAAAAACTGTTCCCTATATATTTCTCTACATTTCCTTTTTAACAAAAAAATATTTGGGTATATATGTTAGTGATGTTCGGGTATCCCGACTCCCGACACCCGACTCGGGAAATTTCCCGAGTTTTTGGCCTCCCGATCCCGACCCCGACTCCCGATGGCAATTCCCGACTAAGTCGGGAAATTTTTACACCCCTAAGAATGGCTTTTTCTGATAAAATTTTATTTTTGAAGGGAAAAAATAAAGAGAAAAAATAAAAAAAGGGAAAATAAAATATTTAATTTTTTTCCCTGACAACTATTGTTGAGAGGTGGTCGAGTGGTTAAGTTGAGTGCCTAAGTTACTTTGAT